TATAGATAGAATAGAAAGTAGCATAAAAATTGTATATATAGAGAACGGAATTCAAAGTAATTCCACAGTTCGCATCCACAGAACTCAATAAAATATAAGTTTCATTTAATTATTTGTTAATGAAGTTTAATGTTAATTAAAGGTAATAGGTTCGCCCTAAACTTTAATTAATGTTCGCTTAATTAATTTTAATTAAAAAATGGAAATTTTAAGAAGAATTAAATATATGTTTTGAAAAGTAATGTTCCGTAGCGAAAGCTATCGTAGTTTGAAATTAAAGGTAAAAGTGGATATAATTTGAGGAAAATTTAGAGAAGTTAATTTTTATTTTATATTGTTTGATGTTTTATATTACTAACGCTATTTATTTTGTGAACCAAGAATGTTGTTGTATATTGTTCGTTGATGTTTTTGTTTGTTAATTATGTTTTGATCACGTGTTTGTTCGTTTGATTGCTCGTTCGTTCGTTTGTTTGTTCGCTCATTCGTTCGTTCGACCATGAGAATGCCCGTTCGATGTGGCAACCTTGTAAATTGATGACAGGGGGAATTGGGGGATCTCACCACTTTGTTTATTTTTTTTCATATTAACTATATTATCAATATTAAATTATCTTCACTTCTATCTCTGGCAGTAGAAATTCTGCAATATTTAAAAGACCTTTAAATTATAGAAATATCTACATCTCTCCATGATTTTTCACCTATTAAGTTACAGTAGTATAGGATAACTATTTGATTTTTCCAGTAGGTGTGAATGTATGATTTCAGAATTCATCCATGTATTGTAATACTGATGCAAATTTACTTTAAACTTTTATTAATAGCTACATCCAATGGTTATAATTTACATATAAGATTATCAGGAATAATAGCAAGATTTATTTGTTTTTTTTAAATCTATTTTGAATTAATAAGATGTTCACGAAAAGAATCTAAGACCAATAAGGACCTTAAATTATCAAGCTTATTTTTTTGAGTCCACACATTTTCAATCTACCAGAACATTTCTTCTTCATTACACTATTTTTTTTCATTTACACATATATAAACTCCTTGAGGAAAAGTTCTCATGACATTTTTTTAAGTTTGAAGATACAAATTAATGGTAATTTTATACTATTAGCCATATAGGCTAATATAACAGTAAAATTTATTTTTTCATGATTAGTAGTTTTTATATTAACAATTGAAGTACTTCAATGATCCAAAGTAGTTGAATATAGTAAATCAAATGCAACAGGCATCTCATTCATATTGCCTATGTATTTCAGTGAATAATCAGCTAAATTCATCTGTATAAAATAAAACTTAAGAAATTTTATTATTTTTCTATAAGATTATCAGAAAGATGTTATGCAATATATGTTCTTTTTCTTGTTACAAGATTATATTGTTTATAAATCCTTCTAATCATGCTTCTGAAAATTTAAATTGAGCAATAATTGGATACATATCTACTCATTTTTTTTCTTTAGCAATTAATTTTGTTTTTCTGATTACCATATTTCATGTATTAAACAGCTTTTGTATTTTTACGCAAATCTGATACCCATTTAAAAAGAAACTTTTCAAGTTCTGAAAATGCAGTATCTTTAATACTACATTTTTAAGTTGAGATTTTTAATTCATCTAATAATAGATTTGTTTTAGTTTTATATCAAACCTTCTTGCCACTAAACATTTACTTTCACACTATTTATTATAATCAATTTTTCATGAGCACACCATTGTCTTCTACTTTTTTCTATTACTTGTAGCCTTTTATTTTTACCTCAATGAATAATCATATTATATTAAAAGAACTAAATAAGTAAACAAAAAAAAATTTTTCTTTGTTTAAAAACGTGTACTGGATATAAGTTTACATAATTAATAAACACGTGAATTTAAAAAAATAGATTATCTTAATTTCTAAATCTGCATCAATTCCTAAATTGGAAATATTCATTCATCAAAAAGCCTAATTCAGTTAAATACTATTTATAAAAAATTTTTTATTTGTATCCCTCTCTTAAACTATTATATCCTCTAATAGTTAGATTATCTAAAAATCTTTCTAGTTAAAATCATTACAAAGAAATTAAGGAAAAAAATTAAGATAAGAAATAATCATTTAAGTTGATACTTTTTTCAGATCATTGCAATGCAAATGCTGTAAAAAGTTTGATAATTCAGTTAGATTTACTTAAAAATCTTTCTAACTAAAATCATTATAAAGAAATTAAGAAAAGAAGTTCAGATAAGAAACAATCATCAAGTTAATATCTTTTTCAGATCATTATAATGCAAATGCTATAAAAGGTTTGAGGATTCAGTTAGATTTACTTAAAAATTTTTTTAGTTAAAATCATTACAAAGAAGAGATTAAGATAAGAAATAATCATCAAGTTGATATTTTTCTTAAATTGTTGTAATGTAAATGCTGTAAAAAGCTTGAGGATTCAGTTAAATATATCAAAAAGTTTTCTTAACTACCTTGCAATAAATTGAGTAAAAAGCAACTAATAATACTATTCTATGATTCAGCTAAAAATTTGATACTGGAAGTTTCTTAGTTTCAGTTCACTAACTGTTTATTGAATTAGTTTGAAATTATTTACCTTTTTCATTTTAATTAGGTTTCTAACTGTGCTAATTTCTTCCTCTAATGCATTTTCATTTAATAAAATGGAATTAAGGTATAAATAAAATTTTTTATGAATGCTGTTCATCTAACAGTAATCAAAGATCAACTGTCAAAGTCGACTAATGACCAATTCTTTAGTTCTTACTTTTGAAAGTATTGTTTAGAAATAGTTGTTTACAAAGTTTATAATATTTTTTTTTTTTGTGAATGGAGAAAGAGTGGATATTTATATTAAAAACTTATGTTATTTACTTTGAAACATGAAAATTTGTATCACATATAACCTTTTTAGCATAAACAACTTGAAATTTTGCTAAGCCATTGATTTTACATGTTATTTATTAACTCTATTAACTCAGTTATAAACGTAAAAAATGTATCATATATAACCATCAACTTGGAATTTGAATTTTGCTAAGTTAACTTAGCTATAATGAAAAAATTATTATATGATGTTATCCATTAGCTTACCAACTTAATTATAAGCTTGTGTTCCTGCTTAGCAAGTTACTGCGCTTTATTTGTTGTGAGTAGATCAATCACACAAAGTCACATTATACGCAAAGACACATTAGTCAAATATATCTCAATATAATTATTTTAAACATGTACTTTTTGTTCAAATATCTGCTTTCTTAATTTCTAACTACTAAATTTCTAAAAAAAAATATTACTAGTACTTAGGCCTTCAAAAATTTATATTTACAGTAATTGAAAGTTAATTATATTAATATGTGTATTATTATTTATTTTGTCATTTGACAATACTGTCTACAAATATATCAGTAAAAAAATAAATATCAACAATTCAAGACTTCTGTCTATAATCCCATTATTCTTTATAATTTTAAGAAGTTTTCTGGCTTCATCTTAATGATTATAAAGTTAAGGTGGTTGACTGTTATTTATACTTTATAGTACCTACCATAGAATATTAAATAAGTATTATTAACTTTTTCAAATATTTATTAATCATTTATCTTTTCAAACCATTTTTTTTATTAACACTTTCAAGTATTACTTTTGAGTTTTCCAAAATTTTTTGATTGATTATAAAATCCAATCATTGTCTTTGTTTTTAATAATGATATTTTATTTGAAATTTGTAAATTAACATTATTTTTAGGTAACTAGTTTAATAATTTCTATAATTCTACAATATTCACAGTATATTATAACTAGCTAAACATTAATATTAACAATTTTCAAGAGAACTTTTACAATAAACAAGATTTCAATTAATATATTTACTGCGTAATGATTTTTACTTTCTTGTAAGAGATTCGTTAGCAAGAATAATTTCTTTTTTAAATTTATGTCTTTTTCTAAATTATTTTAAGTGATGACCTTTAATAATACATATACATTTTGAAGTCCAATTTATTTATTCTGAATGGTAGCCGTAATATGATACTTATAATCCGAAACTACGATTTTATTAGTATCAATAACTATTAAGGTTACGTCACTAAATTGAATACATGTGACTCAGATTGTGATCTTGTGATCTTACCAAGTGTGTACAAACAATCTTTAAAATTAAAGATGGCACAACGCTTACCAGAATTAGTTTAAATCTGGCAAAACTTTTTTTATCAAAGAAAAAATTATTTTTTTTTTTAAAAAAAAAATAAAATATGACGATTTTTTATCGTAAATATTTTTTTATAATATACATTATACAATTTTCTATTTATTTTAAATTTAAAAAAATATTTTGATTATCGGCTGATTGCCTTTTTGTTTACATCATGATTTGTAATTTTGGTAAGCTTTATCGTGATCATTTCCATTTTTATTATGATTCTTTGTTCACGATAGACAGAAAAAATATGGTATGATACACAAGATATTCTTAACATAAATCATATTGCCAACAAAACTTTTTTTTTATTTATTTATTTTTTTTTCATAAAACCGAAATAACAAATAGCAGCTTATATTAATAGTTTTAAGCTTTTAATATTGTCAAAATGTTACCTATTTTAAATGTTCCTTATTTATAAAACAAAAACATTTTTTAAAATGGCCGAGATTGACGAATATCATTTGACAATTTCGTTTCACAAAATTTAATCTTAAAAATGTGGAAGAAAATACACTAACAAATCGTGTTAACTGCATGCAAAAGGATTTTCACAAGAACAATAAATTAGATTACATATTTTTTTTTTTATTTTGTTTTTTCTTTCCCTTCTATAACTCGTAATTATTTTTCTATGACAAACCGTAATAAGAAAAAGAACCGTCGTAAAAAAGCGGAAAATCGACAAGTGGAGAGCAATAGTAAAGAAGTGGATGACAGTAATAAAGATTCTGTATCAAACAATAGTAAAGAAGTGGATGTAGATTCTGTATCAAGCAATAGTAAAGAAGTGGATGTAGATTCTGTATCAAACAATAGTAAAGAAGTGGATGTTAATAATAAAGATTCTGTATCAAAAAATAGTAAAGAAGTTGATGACAATTATAAAGATTCTGTACCAAAAAAGGAAGATATCAAAGTATTCTATGAAGAAGATGAAGTCGAATGGAAGCAATTGAATCATAAATCGACTCCATTGAGTTTAATAAAAGAGAAGATTGATGATGATCAATTTGCTCCAGTCAGTATACCCGACATGGTTTGGATGGTAAAAAAAATTTTTTTATTAACCTTCTTTATTTTCTTTTTTTTTGATTATAATTATCAACGTTTTAAAAGACTATAAAAAATTTTGAAGATCCCTCCACATTGTAATATTTCCCCAAGTGAACTTTTCGGTGAAAAAGAAATGTATTTAAAACGCATCGCAATATTGACTGATTCTCAAATTGAATTTAATAAAAGTAAAAATGTAAGTAATGCATGCTTTTTTTTCATAATGTAATATTTATTTTCTTTATTTTCATTATTGATTAATCGGTTTGAATATATTATTTCGTTTAAATCGATTTTAGCGTATCGAAATGTGGGGAGGAGATGAGAATTTTGATAATCTCAAAGAAGCTGCCAGGCAATTTGAAGATATTGCTAACACTGTGTTAGAACGAAAAAAACGTGGAAGAAATAAGACTTGGGATGACTGGGAAAAAGCTGAAAGGGCTCCTCTTACTAAGAAGGAAGAAAAAAAGTTGGAACGTAGAAAAAAAAGAGAAGAGGAAGAAAATAAGTATAAAGAAATGACGAATGATCCTCACCCTTTCTACGGCTTCTTTGTTATTCCTGATAGCGACATTCCTATTGAACAATTTATTGGAAAGAATGGATATATGTTGGATCCTGTGCGAATCAAGTTTAAATGCCATATTTGGCATGAACCTAAACACTCTGTAAGTAGTATTATAGAGATAAATAATTTAAATAACGTAATAATAATTTTTATTACTTCATTTTTTTTAAATTTTTTGTAGTATATAAAAGTTGTTGGAAAAAATGACGAATCTGTTGAAGAAGCTTCACTACGAGTAAGAGGCTTATTTGTAAAAGTTTTTGCGGTATGAAATAGTTTTTAAATGAAATAATAAAAAGATCGAATCTATTTTAATTGTAATCTTTTTTTTTTTCTTAGTATAAATCTATTCCACCAAGGGGTTGGGTATTTCATATGTTAGAACCACCGAATAAGCCACACAAAGTAAGAATAGCGGATCCACCATCTTGGTTTATAAAACCATACGACGTATTAGATTTCAAACTTCTTGAGCCAGTTTTTGAAGGAGATAAGATTCCGATTGTTGGTAAAGAAGATGCTTCAAAGGAATTAGATCAAAGTTTTGATCCTGCTATTTTACAAGGGTAAGTTTTTAATATTACGTTTTAGATTTTTATGATAATAAAATATTAATTTTGTTAAATATTTAGGATTCGTGAGTCTAATTCAAAAAATATCGAGGATGCTTTTGTTAAAGCTCTTCAACATATTCATTTACTTGATGAAGTAATAAAAATAAGAATTAGGTATAGCATTTAAGGAAAAGCTGTTTATTATTTATTTAAATATTAATTCACAAGTTTTACATCATATTCAGGATTGGTCACGTGTGTTTGACACGTTTTCCTCAGCGTAAGGACTCTAACCCATTGTGGGCTATCGATAAATTTGAAAAGGTCCTAAAAAATCCTCGCATATTATCTAAATTTGCTACATGGTGAGAAATAATATGTGAATTATTAATTTGCTTTATATCAAAGTTTAAATTTTTTTCCTTCTCTTTCTTTTAGTCTCGCCACCAAAGATGAACAATTAGATAAATTATTTGATGATCTCATATTCCGTTCCAAAGCTTGGGAAAAATCAAATGAATCTAGGAAAGATGAAAAGGAAACTCGAGAATTGGACTATTCCACATGTTGTCAAGAATTAGATGGTTCCCCATTTCGTGAATTTAAAATTTACGCAATTCGTAAAATCCCTGACAGTGAAAATGAATCATGGCCCTGCTCATTTGACGTCAAAGTTGAGAGATACGAGAATGAAAAAGGGAAAATCGATAGGTCAAGTAATTCTAGCAAAAGAACTGATAGAACACACGATAAAAATGATAAAATTGGATTATGGGATGCTGTTTTAAATGAAAAAGATATTTTGGACATAAGCATGGCATGTTTAGATAGTAGTTATTCATGGAAAATACTTATCCAAACGGCAAGAAGACTTTCAAACGATAAAATCGGGGCACAGGGGAATTTTGTTTATAAATTAAGAATTTGGTAATTATAATAATAAATTAATTAATATTCTTATTAAAAGGAAAGCTAATTAATTTACAAAATAATAGTCCAAAAGGTCGTTTGGTTTATTCGAACACTAAAGAAATAAATGTTCTTTCAGTATGTGAAAAAACGAAATGGAAATATTGGTGGCTTAAAGATTATATTATAGAAATAACCAAGTATGAATATTGGAATTTATCAGAACATCAGGACTCACCCCCAGGAATTGACATTCCACTTAGCAAAGAACCATCACCCATTGTTACTTATGGAATCACTGTAAGCAAATATTATTATTTTTTTTTGAATTATCATTAATTTCATTTTTAATAAATTAACAATTAATAATCATATTACTGTATATAGTTATATAACAAGTCTTGGGATGAAGTTTCTTTTAATAGTAATTTGGAGCCTGGCGAAGTTCCTGAATGGTATCCTCATGAAATCGTAGATGAAGAGAAAACGGGTGGTATAAATTCTTTGATGAAAGATATAAATAATTTTATAGAAATAATTCAAAAAAATGTAAAGATTTATTAAATATACAATAAATTATAATATACCAGCATTTAAGTCAGTTATTAAACTAAATGATGAATGAAGCGAAGGACTAGACATGGTAGGATGAGTCTATAGATTATTGGTTCTGTCAGTAAATAAGAAAGCACCCATGATATATTCTATTTTATTTTATTTCACAGAAAAATACATTATCAGTAAGAACTACAGGAAATCATATATATTCTCATCTTTAAAAACAAAACACATTAAAGTACTATCCAGGATTACTCCGTTAAATTAATTAAAAGATATTCGCTTTTCCTTAAGGCTTACACATAAATTCTCGCACTAACCGGGTCTGGATATCTCTATTCTCATAAGTAATTGAATCGAAAAAAAAAATATTTTGTAATATTTCTAATTTCGTATATTTCGTAAACTTGTAAAATTACGTATATTAATAAATTTTCGATATCTAATAATTCAACGAAAAGAACACTTTAACTGGAATAAGCTTAACTACGAAAATTAATTATTCTGGGCCTTTGTAATTATAAATAAAGCCAATTTTAAAAAAATTATGATTAGCAAAAGAACATATTATAATTAACAGTTAAATTTTTTTTTTGTGGTAAAACGTAATACTTTATTAATTATTTCATACCATCCGATGAAATGGTAACGTTTTTCATGTACTACTAACTATTAAATATTACATAAACCAAAACCCACTTTCTCTTTTTGTCATTAACTAGTTTTTCCGATTTTCTAAATTTTCTTAAACGGGCTCACCATACAAATATACTACACTAGAACCGAATACGTATTATGTGAATTCTCTTTAATCACGCGTTGAAATTTTCTCTGTCCTCTCTATCTTCGTTGAATCATTTTTACCATCTTTATGACCATCAACCTCCTTATCTTTTTGTTAAAGTCGATTAATGAAAGACACATTCATTGTATTGACTTCTTTTACGAATTTTTCTTCCTTCCTCGACTCGTTAATTATTTCAACTACTTCTTCCATCTTCGTATAATCAGCTAGATTTTTTGCCGAGGCAACCAGTTTTTCTTCGTCCAAGAGATCTTATTAACCATATATTATAATTAAATCACTAGTATATAAATAAAATAGATAAATCTGGATAATAAGAAAATGAATAAATACCCAGTATTTACATTTATCCTTAGGTGTCACTTTCTTGGCGTACGGAAAATTGTAGGATTAAGAGAATATATAATTGATAATATTGATATAGTCTCTTTGATTACTGTCGGAGCATATTATAATTAAATCGCTAGTATATAAATTAAAACAGATCTTTTGTTCGCCATCCTTTACTTCCTCCACTTATTTTTAATTTGAGAAGCCAGATCCAGACCATCATAGCATGATAAAGATGTGAGGACTCGCGTTCCTACTAGATAACTTACCCAACTAACGTTCCAAACCTGTCCTTTTATACTACGCAACCGTTACTTCATACGCGTGCGCTTTGTTAGCAAACTATTACAAGTCAAAAAAACAGAAGTTTCAAGAAGAAACACTGTAAAAGATGGTGAGATCTTTTGTTCGCCACCCTTTACTTCCTCTTCGTCAGATACAGTATATCAAATTACAACCTTTAGCGGTTGTAATATTAAAACGTAAGCTGTAAATTGGCTGTAAATACTACACTATTATGGTTAGCTAAAAGATGGTAATTCTAATTTACAAACATTAAATTTACTTGACTTTTGGACTAACAACTATTTACGGAGACCAACACTAACTTCCTCCCCTCTTTGATTGTTGGTGCCGTATGAAGTAACTCCTGGGGAAGGTTGCGTAGCATAAAAGGACAGGTTTGGAACATTAGTTGGGTAAGTTGTTAGAGCAATGTAAAAAAACAAGGACGACCCCAGACGTTACCATAGTGATGAGGAATTAAAGGAATCTTTTACAGTGTTTCTTCTTGAAACCTCAGTTTCTTTTGTTTGTTTGACTTGTAATACTTTGCTAACACGGCGTACGCGTATGAAGTAACGCCTGGGCCCTGGGGAAGGTTGCGTAGATAAAAGGACAGTCTGTTTACTGATCCTTTTATAAAAAAAAAAAAAAATATGCGGAAAGCAAGTGTAAAACGCGAAACGCGTTAATTAAAAAAATAAAACGGAATCATGGGTGATCACGTGATACATCCAATCAATTTCGTTACAATATTTCATATTTTACTATACAAAAATTCGTTTAATAAACTCAGTTATAATAATTTAATATATATTTTTTTACTTGAGCAATTGAAATTATAAAGCACAACTAGTCGTGATTCATAAAAAAACAATACTTTGCATGAGGAGGAGCAGCAGCTGAACACCTCAATATATAATTCAAAATATTAACTGTATCCCCCCTTATTTATATTTAGTGCAGATGTGAATGGAGTAGACCATCATCTTTACAATGCTGGTCATTGACAATTTAGGATCCTTTAAATATCTACAACCGCTGTTTCTGTCAGTGGGCTTCTACAGGCAAATCATTCGAAGGACCAACAACCGTGATTTCTAGTTCCTACGAATCCGGTAACCATTTGACATTTGTAACATTAGAAGCGCAAGCTATTAAAAAAAAAAATATCCATTTTTTATTTTTTTTTATTATCCCAAAAAGTTGTGAACAATAATAATAGGATAATAGGAATAGTTTGAAATTAACATACACGAACTAATTGTGTTATTGCTATTAGGATTACATTCAATCCCAGCAGGATGATACCCTTGAGTTTTCAACATATATAAGGAATTAAAATACAGAGATCTATTAGAAAAAAAAAAAATAATAAACAAATGAGGCATCATCCGAACACGGAGAAAAGAGATAGCGTACGAAATAATACAATTTCCTTTATACAAATTAAATTGCGGTTCATTTAGATCAAATACCTGATACATTAAGTAAAATAGTAACTTTCTATATTATGCATTGTGTTATACAATAATAAATAGTATTTCATATTTTGAAATATTAAATACCAATTTTAATTCGTAAATCATCATTGGATTGTAGGAATCTGAATTTTCTTGGCAATTGTCATATGCTTGGCAAGATTTTCCCATGGAAAAAAAATAATTCCATTTAGTAAATATATTGTTCGGTAATATCAAATAAAATAAAATACACCGTTTGTTCACGTGATATGATATCAACACGTGATTATATATGCACCAATTCACCAATAAAATAAACCACCTACAGTACATATTGATAGTGAGCGAGTAAACATCACAATACCGTTCAGACCGAAAAAAATAATTAAAATACGATTGGCTTTCGCGTATCGATCTGAGATGAAAATGGTTATTATTAAAGACATAAAAAAGAGCAAAGTATTACAGTTCGTAATTTAAATAGAGGGCATTACATTGTGTTGCATCAATTTTTAATCGACATGATGCCAAAGATCTCAAAGTTCTTATCATGCTCTATGGCAGATAAAGCCACTTTATAAAATAAGTAAATTTTCAATAAAATTAGCAGAAATTTGAACCCCAAAATTGAGTGATCGGATTGGTCTAGAATTGAACAGGGCTATTGATTGGTAAAAATAGTCACTTCGCGTTTCATTTCATCCAACCATTCTAATCTGTCATCCAATAATAATATTATTATCGATTTGACGTGCAATTTTTATAATAAACTCCCACTACTATTTGATAACTTTATTATTATACTAACTGAATAAAGTAACAATTATGTTAAATCTGCATGAACTTAATTATATGATTTTTTTAAATTCAATTTACGATAAATCCTACATCTTGATTAACTATGTTATACATTACAACCATCTTGAATAAAAGTTATCAAAGAAATAATTTATACTTGTAATTCCAAATTTTTTAAAGAGAGTTTAAAATTGGACAAGGTTGTCATGTTCGCTTTTATTATATGATCCATAACGTTATAAAGTTTGAATCTAATATCAGGTTTTTTTAATTAATAATTTCTGTAACATAAACTACTTCATTAATATATATTACTGTATAACGTTAACAAAAAGTACATCTTACGCCAAAAGAGAACTACGTGTACGAATAAAATAGGGTAAATGAATAGCGCAACGAGCCAGAGCGATGATACAGTATGTATCAGGCAACTTGTTAAGAGTTAATTTAATAAATACAGTAAAATATATTAAATTTTTTTCGTGTTCTCTTATGGTTTTCCTATCTTAACAAATATGTCATATTTTTTAATATGTTATATAATAACCTTTCGTCCTCGTTTTCTCTTTTATTTAGATAAAATTTGTATGGAGCCTCGAATACATTGCAGTAAGCTCTAACCTGAAGTGGTGTAGACTGGGAGCTAGACGGCCAATGCATTACCCCCTTTTGGGGAAGGTTAGAGTTGGATATAGGGTGGTACCAACTATGTTATACCAACCTATATCACTTTCGAACAGTGTTGTTAAATTGCCATGTCATTTGCCCATTTTTCAAATGACATTTGTCATTTCTCATACATTTTCATAGTAAAATCGATGTCATTTAATATCATTTGATGTCATTTCAGTGTCATTTGACAACACTGCTAGTTTCGAAAGTTATAAATGTGTATTACTAATTGAACGAGTCTTATTACTCTTATAACTCTGTAATTATGTATCTGTTTCAGCAGTTTACCTGCCTTTCTTGAAATAAAATCTTTTATTTAGATAATTAATAAAGTTATATAGAGCCTTAATTGATTTTTTTGTTGATTCGAAATTAATATTAATGACCATTGGAACGCAACAATTCAATACTATGTCTCACAACGGTAGTCCATTTTTAGATTATGATTGTAAATCGTAAATTTGGCCACAAACTCATAAGCACAGTAAGCACAGTAAAAATTTGTACACTGAGTAACATCTATAATGAACAATCAAACCCCGTGTGTTACTCCATTCTTGTTATTTTCTTTCTAAATCAGTTGGAAGTTTGAAATACGAATAATGTTGTCTAACTGAACTACCGGAGTTGAATGCGTCTTTTGTTGACCTTAATTTAGCCAATATTTCATTCATATTTATAAAGCATAATTTTCCCAGATTATTATTATTCATACTTTTGCTCACTACAATGTCATCAAATTCTCAATTAACTTTCTTGGACGTTAAAGAATTTTCAAAAGATTTTTATCAAAATATTCTTAAAATCATTGAAACAAATGATTTTAATACGTTTGAAAATAATTTAATCGAATGGATAAATAGTTTTATCAAGGATACTAAAATGATTTTGGAATCAATGCAAAATCATGAAGAATATGAATTTTGGTTTTCAAGTATAATTGGTTTCTTTTATCAACATGGTATAGGTTGTAATGTTGATAAAAATAAAGCATTAGAATTTTATTTATTAATAGTTAATAATAATCATCGTAATGATGATGATGATGATTATAACGATGACAACAATAATGATGATGAAAGTTTAAATTTATTAAAAGAAAATGATGAATTTATTATTTTAAAAAATATTAATTATAATATTGGAAAATATTTATTATCAACTTTTTATTATAAAGATATTATTTTGGATGATATACATTTTAGAAACGCGCCTGATTTTATAATTAAATATTTAAAACTTGCTAGAAGAGATGATTCAACGGCTCAATGTAATTTAGGTCATTGTTATGAATATGGTGAAGGAGTAACAAAAGATTTTAATAAAGCATTTGAATGGTATACTAAATCAGCTAATAATAGAAATGCTTTAGGTCAACATAATTTAGGAAATTGTCATTATTATGGAAGAGGAACAACATTAGATTTTAAGAAAGCATTTGGATGGTATGCTAAATCGGCTATTAATGGAAATGCTGAAAGTCAATATAATGTAGGAGAATTCTTTTACTATGGAAAAGGATTAAAACAAAGTTATAAAAAAGCATATGGATGGTATTTTAAATCAGCTAATAATGGACATGCTTTAGGTCAATATAAATTAGGAAATTGCCATGAAAATGGTGAAGGTACTGAACAAGATTATAATATGGCATTTGAATGGTATTCTAAATCAGCTAATAATGGAAATACTGAAGGTCAAAATAATTTGGGTTATTGTTATAGAGATGGTAAAGGTGTAGAACAAGATTACAAGAAAGCATTTGAATGGTTTGAACAATCTGCTAATAATGGATGTGCTAAAGGTCAAAATAATTTAGGAGAATGCTATTATTATGGAATTGGAATAGAACAAGATTATGAGAAAGCATTTGAATGGTATTCTAAATCTGCAAATAATGGAGATGCTAAAGGACAAAATAATATGGGTCATTGTTATGAGTATGGTGAAGGAGTAGCACAAAATTTTAATAAAGCATTTGAATTGTATTCTAAATCAGCAGCCAGTAATGAATGTGCTGAAGGTCAAAGTAATTTAGGAAATTGTTATTATTATGGAAAGGGAATAAACCAAGATTACAAAAAAGCAGTTGAATGGTATTCTAAATCAGCTAATAATGGATGTGCTGAAGGTCAATATTCTTTAGGTACTTGTTATACACATGGTAAAGGAGTTAAAAAAAAATATGAAACAGCATTTCTATGGTTCTCTAAATCAGCTATGAGTGGATATTCCAAAAGTCAATATCATTTAGCAGATTGTTATTATTATGGAAGAGGAGTATTACGAGATTATATAAAAGCATTTAAATATTATTATGAATTAGCTAATAATGGACATGCTTTAAGTCAAAATAAATTAGGTGCTTGTTATGAACATGGTAAAGGAGTGAAACAAGATTATAATATGGCATTTGAATGGTATTCTAAATCAGCTAATAATGGGTGTGTTGAAGGTCAAAATAATTTAGCACTTTGTTATGAAAATGGAATTGGAATAGATAAAGATTATGGTAAAGCATTTGAATTGTATTCTAAAGCAACTAATAATGGATATATTTTTGCCCGAAGTAATTTAGGTCGTTGTTACGAGAAAGGGTTCGGAACCGATAAAAATTATATGCGAGCATTTGAATTATATAATAAGTCAGCTAATGAAGGATGTTCTAAAGGTCAAAATGATTTAGGGAATTGTTATTTTTATGGAAAGGGAATAACAAAAGATTATAAAAAAGCATTTGAATTATATAAAAAATCAGCCAATAATGGGTTTGCTTTAGGCCAAAATAATTTAGGTGTTTGTTATGAGAAAGGATTTGGAACTCGTAAAGATTACCACGAAGCGTTTAAATGGTATTCCAAATCAGCTAATAATGAATGTGATGAAGGTAAAAAAAATTTAAAATGCCTACTATTATGGTATCATAAAGTAAGTATATAAATTAGTATTCTTTTAAAAAAAATATACGTTTGTAGATATTTTTTGTTTAGATAAATATTCTTGTAAAGTTAGCAACTATTTTACATTCTTGTATAGTATTCCTAGTGCTTCCTTGCTTGTCTATATCCCCAGAATAATAGTTTTTAGCGTGAATTGCAAAATGTTTAAGATTTATAATTTATTGTAACCATAGAGAGTGTTTTCTTCTTTATATAAATGAATTGTATTTAACTGTATGTTATTTAAATTTATTATATATATATATATTGTAATATATAAATAATGAATATTATTTAGTTACATTTGTATTTAATTTCCTTCAATTTCTAATCTCTAATCGAAGCAATAAGATTACGAGATACGAGACTATTTTTCTTAATAAGCCGAATTAGAGGACAAACTAATTTATCATAAGTGTTTAAAATTATTTTAATAGTCGCCCAAAATATTAATTTCCGCTCTTTAAACACAACAAACATTATTAATATTTAACGAATGCTTACACATAAATTGATTTTTTTTACGTTAGAAATCTCAAATGATACACACGCGAATACGCATTTTATAAAGAAAACGTATTTGTTATTAAATATATTCAATACTAGTAATTAACTTTTAATTATTAAAGGGATTTAGGGATTTGAAAATATAATGCCGATTATCACCCAAGTAAATTACTCCACCGGTATAAAAAAAAGTATAAAAAAGTATAAAATTCATTGGTGCACACGTCATACACAATGAGATAAGCCTGTTATTCCATGAATATCTAATAAATACTCCATACTGTACATACTGTATACACCGATGCTTCCCTCCCTCCCCAGAATATTTCAGTTATTCATTGATACATGTCATGGCTTGGCATCAGTTTATAAAAGATTTGCCGTTGCATTTTATGATAATCTTTTACTGTTGTTGCGGCAATAATATGCCAAATAAGTATTAGTATATAATTCATATATATTTACACGTGCAATTTAAATCTAATTTGTAATTCTATTAACTTCCAAAACAATACATTCTCTAAGCAGAGAAACCCGCTATAATGGTCCATATATATATTTTAATATTATCGGTCCTGATCATAATAAATAACCTTTAAATTATTTTTAAATATAGTAATTTTTTTTTTATTAAACGAACAAACAAATGAGCAATAAAGAGATAATTCATGTGATCATAGAATATCAGAAGTTTCTTACTTACCCTTTACTGTTATAGTGATTTAAAGTTCTATATCCGGCATACATGATGCTACCTGTTTTGTTCATATTTGTATATATTATGAAATATATTATGTCATATTGTCATATAAGGCGTGCGGACATGTCCGCTATTGGATGAGGTTACCCAATAACTAATTGGGAACCAAATTTATATGATCTTGTACCAAGGTAAACACATATTTGCAAAGAATCAAATTAATAAAGACCAAATTCGCTGGGAATTTAACCTCTTTATATATAAAGCATCATCGTTTACATATAAAAACTAATTAAAATAAAGAAATGAGAAAAATCGTACTTTTGTGTGTAAACTATACAAAAACAAAGTAAGTAATAGTATTTCCAGAAAGTAAATTGTATTAGATTATCATAAAAACATTTGGAAACATATGACAAAATGAATTTTTTCAATAATGACTAATAAGAATTAATAAGATATTGACTTCTATATAAATGTAAATAACAACCTAATTTGTTCAATTATCCAAAGAAATTCTTATTGGAAATTTGAAACAATACATCGCCCTTAGATCACAACCAATTTTGGTAATTTATTCCCATACATTAAATTACCATAAGGTAATTTTCCGTGGCACATTATTCTAACCAAAAATTTCCTATTCATTTATAGGTTCTCTGTTGTACTATTCTATAAGCTTAGCCAATTTTACTTTCGGCTGGAAATAAGTCTATCTTTTTTAATAAAAACAAAAGATTTTTTATTTATTTATGGTTTTATGGTTGCAATCGTGTATCCCATGAAAATAGCAGGCGTATTAAAACTTGAACAGAACAAGATTTATGTAAACTTTAAATTCATTCTCCGTTAAAAAAGAATTTTCTCTCTCCTGAAATTTTTTTTTTTTTAAAAAAAAAAAAAAAAAATGAAATTTAACTTCCTTATTTCCTTATATCGAATTTATCATTTTAAGTGAGATTTCTTTTTTATACAAGTTTATAAAAATTTTAATTTTTGATATCGTTAAAATTGAGGAAAAAAAAAAAAAAAATTTTTTTTTTTAGGTATGCTTATGGTGGTGTCATTAATCTTGATAATAGAGAGGCTTCAGATATTATGAATCTTTTAATTGCTTGTGAAAAATTCAAACTTAAAGAATTATATGATTATATTCAAGATTATCTTATCATACATCATCAAACTTGGCTTTTTCAAAATCTTCTTTTAATTCAACAAATCGGTTTTAAACATCCTGAATTTATTAAATTACAAAATTATTGGACAGAAACAATTTGTGAACAACCAGAAATTTTATTCAATTCTACCGATTTTATATCTGTTGATAAAAAAGCGTTATTATCTCTTTATAAAAATGAAATTTTATGCATGGAAGAAAATGAATTATGGGATTATATTATTCTTTGGGGGAAAGCTCAAAATCCTGAATTACCTGAAAAAATTTCTAATTGGACAGCAAATGAATTTAATATTTTAAAGAAAACTATCGATGAATTTATACCTCATATTAGATTTTATGAAATTCCTTCTGATGATTTTTGTTTCAATATTATGCCTTATGGTTCAATGATTTGTAATGATTTATATCAAGATCTTTCCCGATATCATTTGGTATCAAATTGGCAACCAAAATTTAATAGTCTTAAATCAAGAAGAATAAATTTAAATCTTTCTAATATACCTATCGATTCTAAACTGATTAACGGTGAACAAGCAGCATTGATTTCTTCTTGGATTCAAGGAAATAATGAAAGCAAAATATCAAAAAAATATAGTAAGGCTAATCTTGAATTTCAATTACTTGCTCGTGGAAGTCGTGATGGATTTACGGGTGCATCATTTCATAAAATGTGTGATAACAAAGGTCCCACAATTACAATTATAAAATTAAAGGGTGAACCTTCAATTCTTGGAGGTTATAATCCTATTAATTGGGAAATTAATAAACATGGGAATTATGAAAAAACTTCAGATAGTTTTATTTTTAGTTTAGATAAAGAAATAACTTTGTCTCGAGTTCAAAATTATGATAATGCTATATTTCAAAATAAAAATGGTCCTAATTTTAATGATTTAACGTTACGGGGAACTTTTAATTCAACGAATGGTGTTTATTATGCTAAATATATTTATGATCAAAAGATACATGCTAAAGGATATTTTATTGCAGATGAATATGAAGTTTTCAGTATTATTACAAGGAAGAAGAAAATAATTAAATCATTGTAGGGAGAATAAATATATATATTTTTTTAGTATTTTAGATTAGTTAATTTTGTATAAATAAATATATATATATATTAAAAAAATAAATAAATAAAACGTTTATATTTATTGCAACAAAGACGCACTTAATTATGACTTAACTAGTTACATCACATAAGTTTTGCATCTCCAATCCTCTAATCGCTACCAATTTAGGAAAAAAAAAATGTACTTAAATATAAAAATTTAACGCTAAAAAAAAAAAACTTTTTCTACTTTTTGTTCTTTCTTTCTTTCTTTAAAATAAATAAATAAATAAATAAATAAAATTAATTAATTAATTAAATAACGTCCACATAATTTTTTGTCTCGATCGTCGCTATTAAAGAGAAGGTAAATAGTATTTATGATTTATGATTTTATAATTTTATAATCAATTTATAAAGAAAACAATAATTATAACTTTGTGTATATTCAAATTATTCTTGAAGTGAAGTCCTCTTGCTTTGCAAATGTTTTCTCTAATGGATTAGTAATGAAAGAAAATAAATTTTTATCTTGGATTTTCCTGATACATTGCTGTTAATATATCAAAATTTTAATTAGGTAATATATTATTTAAATTTTTAACATAGAAAATTTATTTATATTAATGCAAGTTTCGTTTTATCTAGATATATTTATGGTGTGGTATCATCGATCTTGATTATGTAGAAGCTGCAGACATTTAATGTATGTGTACATATATGAGAATTAGACAATTAAACAACTCTTGCTTAAAGGATTTAACGTTCAAGAACATCATCATATTAGACATCATCAATCTTGAATCTTTCGAAATTTTGCCTTTAATTCAATCATTCAGTTTTAAATACTTTGAAATCACCACATTACAAAATTATTAGACAACCATCATTCTATCATTTATAAGGAGCCTGAATCTTTTTTTTTTTTTTTTTAGGATTGCTAATTCAGTCGGAAAGTTGGCTGAAGGGTTCAGGAAGCTAGCTCAACACATTTAAAGTTTGGATGCGGTTAAATCCAAGCGAAGCACCAACAATCACCTAACAGGCAGGCCCAACCGGCCGACCCACTATCATTATAACCTAACATTAAGGGTCACTTAAACAGGAGCCTGAATCTTTATTTAATGTTACTATTTTATATTCGTTGGGCAATTGATCACGTGATAGAATAAGAATTCGTTAGGGTAAAGCTCAAAATTCCGAAAAAAGAACTAATCGGACAACAAATAACTATACTAGATGATTAATTGCCTCACAATCTGAAGATTCTTGTTACAAGATTATGCCTTACGATGTAATTCTTTTAACGATTTATAATTTGGAAACCAAAATTTAAAAATCGAAAAGCAAATTAAAACTTCTTTCTAATACTACTTTTGATTACAATTATTTTCCTCTCGGATCAAGGATATAAGTCTTATCATTTTAATTAGATTAACATTAATTTGGGACTTAGAAATTATGAATAAATTTTGGATAGAGTTTATTTTAAGACAAAGAATACATCAATATTAGGGTCAAAATTTTAGCAAATGTAGCACGTGATACAATGTACCATCTAATTCTACCTGGTCATACTATGATCGCTTCGATATCATACAACTGAACATTTTGTCAAATGAATTCGAAGAACAGAATTAATACGACCCAATCTCGAAAGGATATATTGATTATATTCTGTATGTAGACATTGGAAACTTATATGCAATTTTATCGATCGGGAATTATTGACGGAATGATGTGTGGAGCATCTGGAACAGTTATTTTGTATAATATTAACTTCAAAGTAACAGGTACGCATCACTTGTTCAAAATACTCGCATTCATGATTTTTTACTAATTATCCCTTGTCATATGTAGAAAAGTTCAGACTACAAGTCTCATAAACTTGTTATAGGCGTAAGCTGTAATTCTTGGGTAACAGACATTCTGTGAATGTATAATATAACAATACAATAAAATGAATTTATTATAGGAGTCTCGCAAGATTTTTTGCATTAAAATACTTATATATATTAATTTTCTTGTTCACCACGAGTCATATCTGTATTGATATAGCTAAACAGTCTCTTTAACATAAAATAAAATAAAAAATATCCATATCTCCTGGTATTGAGAAAATTTTATTATTCTCTTATTTAATTAATTATTCAAAAATAATGTATGATAATAATTATTATTGTTTAGGGTTCTGCTATTCATTACTATATTACTCACAGTGTTGTTAAATTGCCATGTCATTTGCCCATTTTTCAAATGACATTTATCATTTCTCATACTTTTTCATAGTAAAATTGATGTCATTTAATATCATTTGATGTCATTTCAATGTCATTTCAGTGTCATTTGACAACACTGCTCGTATATAGTGGCAAATAATTATTTATCACCATATCCTTTGAGTTTAATCAACTAATCCATTAAACCATTATATTTAAGTATTACTATATATTTACAAATAGATATTTCCAATTATTTATTGATATTCTTTAATCTTTAATTAATTTCATTTACTAGATTCATTCTTTTATATCTGTACTATATAATTTTAATTTAAATCTCGACTTTTAGCAGATTTCATTATATAATTATTTTTTAAATAAAAGGTTATGTATGCAATATTACTATTATTAGCTATGATGAGAACTCAGAACTTGGTGTGCCTTAGATACCTCTCTGCTTTAAGAATTTTCTTTGCGGTTCCAGTCATCTTCGTCAAGATAATAATAAAGTTTAATAATTTGTGTGCGAAACTCTGATTTTAATTCGTTAGAACATTTAATTATCGGATCTAAAATTCTTTCTTTGTCAATATCATCATCAATTATACAGGAAGATCCTGCCAAATTGCAGGAATTTGAAAACTTCCATATTCCTGAAGACAATATGATTTTTGATGCATTGTACACCAAAATAAAGATACCTCAGTGCGATGGCCAAATGCACCAAAGCTCGCTAGATCTTTATTATCCAATATTCCATCTCTAAGATGAAGAATAATTCTCTGATTGAGTACATCCCTCATGGTCCTGAACCTTGATCCTGTTGTTTCGCTTCTTGTTTCGCTTGTTTCGCTTGTTGTTTCACACGTCCGGAACCGGCAGATTTTAAACAGGAAATTTAAACAACTTGAAAGTAAAGGAGCACCCTTTACGGATTATACTGTACAATACTTTCTATGACTCAATAACCTCGATACTTACATTCCAATCATTAAGAACATTAGCTGCTTTTTCGTGCAAAGAAGGATGGTGAGTTTTTGCGTTATTAAATTTTATAAGGTTCTTCTTTAATTTTACGAAGAATTTTCCTTAGGTTTTGAAATCATATTCTTTTTTATAATATTATTGCTCAGTTGACGTCACTAAAAAAAATCCATGATCTGCTAGTAATTCAATAGACTTTCGGAAGGAGTTTAATAAGAAGTACTTAAATAAAAAACAGTACTAGGCAAAGTTCATCACTGATGTTATTATTACTGCGTAAATTGTTTTATTTACAGTATATGAAAGAGTTTAAAGAGTTAGAGAGTTTGCGAAGTACGTGTCTGACTTTATATATTTATACCAACGAGCAATAAGCAACACACAGTAGGCCCGTTCAATTCTGTTTTGGGTTAATACTTATGAAATTTTTAAAAACCTGAACAATCATAATTGATCAATTTGAATAACAATAGACATCGGATCAAAAACATTGAGTGATCTCCTCCAGTATCACCATGATTTTTTAGCATGTGATTTTTCTATATATGGCTGGTGATAATTTTCAATTTGGGCTTGGGTTTTGTCTATATAAATGTTATCCGATATGAGGCGATACTCGAATACTTTTTTGGTAAAGTTACTTAGACGGTTATCTTTACTAAATTAAGAATCAAAAGCTTTTTTAAAACTAACATACTAACGTTTAATAATTTTTTTCCTGGTTTTCTTTTATTTTTTTTTTTTTTAAAAAAAAAAAAAAAAAAAAAATGTCTACACATTTTTTACATAACTCATCGCAAGATTTAATAAAACTTTTAGAAAGTAAACGAAACTATGATTTTATAATTAATATTGATAAAGAAGACAACAAAAGAGAATTTTATGCACATTCAATTATTCTTGAAGTGAGGTCCTCTTATTTCGAAGACGTTCTCTCTAATGGATTAGTAAGAAAAGAAAATAATATCTTTATTGTGGATTTTCCTGATATATCTGTTAATGCGTTCAAAATTCTAATTAGGTAATAAATTATTTAAAATTTAACACGGAGAAATTTATTCTATAATCATAATAATGCAAATTTTATTTTATTTAGATATATTTATGGTGGTACCATCTATCTTGATCATGTAGAAGCTGCAGATGTTTTGAATCTTTTATTTGCTTGCGAAAAACTCAAGCTTTATGAATTATATGATTATGTTCAAGATTCTTTTATTAAACATCATGAATCTTGGATCTTCCAAAATTTTGTTTTAATTCAACAACTCAGTTCCAAATATTCTGATTTCACCAAATTACAAAATTATTTGACAACGGCTGTTTGTGAACAGCCTGAAATTTTATTTGGTGCTAATAATTTTACATCTATAGGTAAAGAAGCATTATTATCCATTTGTAAAGATGAAAATTTGTGCATAGAAGAAAATGAATTATGGGATCATATCATTCGTTGGGGTAAAGCTCAAAACGCTGAATTACATGAAGAAATTAATAACTGGACAAATAATGATTTTGATATTCTAAAAAAATCTTTAGAAGATTTTCTACCTCTTATAAGATTTTATGAAATTTCATCTGAAGATTTTTGTTTTAAAATTATGCCTTATAGTTTAATTCTCTCTAATGAATTATTTCAAGATCTTTCAAAATTTCATTTAGTATCAAATTGGAAACCAAAATTTAATAATCTTGTACCAAGAAAAGTAAATTAAAATCTTTCTAATGTTACTATTGATTACGTTTATTTTCTTGAATTTAAAAAAAACAGAAAACAAAGAATAGATTTAAAAAAAATGTATTATTGCCGTGATGATGGATTTGCAGGTGTAGCGTCCATAAAATATTCATAGAACTTATTATGAGATTAAGTGATTAACATAACAATTAATAAAAAAATTTTTTTTTGTACTAAGATTATGGTAAAAATTTCAGCAAATGTAACACATCATGCAAAAACCACTGATCTAAAAAGAATTTGGCTAAGTTTTTATCTAAATAAATACAATCCGATATGGGGCGATACTCGGATAAGCTGGTCATCACTTCTAAATTGAGAATCTAAACTTAAATAAAACAAGGCAAAAATTCCCAGTTCTAACGCTTAAATTTTTTTTTCCCCGATTTTTTTTTTTTCTCCTCAAAAAACAAAATAATTAAAAAAAAATGTCCACCCAATTTTTACCTTACCTATCGCGAGACCTGACAAAACTTTTAGAGAATAAAAAGAATTATGATTTTATAATTAATGTTGATGATGAAAATAATAAGAAAGAATTTTGTGTACACTCAATTATTCTTGAAGCGAGGTCGTCATATTTTAGGAATTCTCTTTTAAATGGATTTACAAAGAAAGAAAATAATATATATATTTTGGATTTACCTGATATCTCTGTTAATGTTTTCAATATTGTAATTAGGTAATGCAAAAAAAAAAATAAAAAAATCTTGAAATAAATTAAATGTTTTGCTCTTATATGCAATGACGCAATGATTGTTTGATTGTTTGATTTTTCTTTTTTTTTTTTAACTTGCAGATATATTTATGGTGGCACCATCGATCTTGATCGTAAAGAGGCTTTAGATATTTTGAACCTTTTAGTTGTTTGCGAAAATTTTAAACTCAAAGAATTATATGATTATATTCAAGATTATCTTATAAAGCATCATCAAGATTGGATCTTTCAGAATTTTGTGTTAACTCAACAAGTCAGTTTTACATACTCTGAATTTACCAAATTACAAGATTATTGGACAGCAATCGTTGTTGAACAACCAGAAATTTTATTTAATGCTACTGACTTTACATCTGTAGATAAAGATGCATTATTGTCCCTTTATAAAAATGGAGATATATGTGTGAAAGAAAGTGAATTATGGGATCATATTATTTGTTGGGGTAAGGCCCAAAATACCAAGTTGTTAGGAGAGATTTCTGATTGGACAACGAATGAATTTAATATTTTAAAGAGAATTATCGAAGATTTTATACCTCATATTAGGTTTTATGAAATTTCATCCGAAGATTTTTGTTATAAAATTATGCCTTACTGTGGTGTACTTTCGAATGAATTATATCAAGATCTTTCAAAATATCATTTAGTACCAAATTGGCAACCAATATTTAATAACCTTTCACCGAGGAAAAAAGATTTAAGTGCCTCGAATTCTCCGATTATTACAAATGTTGTAAAGAAACCTAATATGATCAATCTTCCCAATCCTCCCCCTCCCAATTCTCCTAAGTCACCTAATACTTTTAATTCCTCTATTACATCTAATACCCTCAATTCACCCAATTCACCCAATTCACCCAATACTCTTAATTCTCCTAGTTCCCCTAATTCTCCTAGTTCTCCTAATTCGTATAGTTCGCAGAGTTCTAACAAATTTTCTAATTCATTCAATGTTTATAGTGTTAATCATCTTTCTAATTCTCCAATTGAATCTAAACTGATCAATAGTGAACAAGCAGCATTGATTTCTTCTTGGATTCAAGGAAATAATGATACCGAGATATCAAATAAATGGAAGGTTTATGGATTTAAATTACTCATTCGTGGAAGTCGAGATGGATTTACGAGTGCGTCATTTCACAAAATGTGTGATAACAAAGGTCCCACAATTACAATTATAAAATTGAAAGGTGAAAGTACCATTATTGGAGGATATAATCCTATTAACTGGGATATTAATAAACATGGAAATTATGAAAATACCTCAGATAGTTTTATTTTTAGTTTAGATAAAGAAATAATTTTATCCAGAGTTTCAAAATATGATACTGCGATATTTCAATCTAGTCGTGGGATAAGTTTTAGAGACCTACAACTTATCGATTATTTTAGTGCTGAAAAAGGAATATATTTTACCCATAATTCATATAGTAAAAAAATACATGATATTGGATACTCTAGTGCCGAAGAATATGAAATTTTTAGTATAATTTTATATTCCCCATAGATGAGTAATCAAGATTAACAACATATAAATACAAATTTAATATGTTTTTTTTCAGACTTAAATAAAAATATTTTCAACTTTAATCATCAAATAATTTTTTTTCAGTTTTATTTTTTTAATTGTCATTAAAAAAAATACGTATGGGATTGGCAAGTGATAAGTAGTGCTACGACTGCTACGTGCTTTTTCATTGTGTATAATGTCAGGTAAAAAGTGAAAGTGACTAGATTGTAAAAATTTAATTCTTTTGTTAATCTGATCTCGTATCGGATTAACGGCAAAATTTATGATTTTTATAATCTAATATGAAAAAGAATTTAAATTTAAAATTAATTCAATTTAAGTAGCGTATCGATATTAAATCATGATTGCGAAGACGATTTCGGGATCAAAGAATCTAACTTGAGAAAAAATGTATTTATTTACAGTAGTTATATACGTCGGAGCTGAACCATATTTTTTAAAAAATTTTCATGTACATATATATTGTTCCTAATCATGATTTAAAAAAGTTAATTCGTCGTATTTCTTTAAAGGTTAAACTAATTATTTTCTTGTAAATTACGCTAGCTTATATCATTAAATTTATTATTAGTGATATAAGAATTATAAGAATACAATCATTTTTTAAATGGATAATAAAAAAAAATACCATACAATAATAATAATAATAAATAATCTATAACTTTCTAACTACAGTATAAACTAGACTCGCTATGATTGAGTTTTCAAAGATTTCTTAATCTCTTTCATGTAAGAGGTGTAACGATGATGTTTAACCGCATCAACTTGTAATCCTATGTATTCAAAAAAAAAAAAAAAAAATCTTTTCGTTAATAAAAACATTCATTCACATTTAAGATATTTTAATCTCATCCATAACAATGTTTCGCTCTCCGCCCCTTCTCCCACCTCTCTCACGGGTTAATCTCATTTTGTAAAAATACTTACCACTTATCATAGACTCATGATAAATCCTAACATTTTCCAACCCAGGATTTTCTAAAGCGACGATAGCATGTTGTTGTACACCCCAAAGTACAAGTTCACTTTTAGCTTCATCTTCAATATTAACTTCATTTGTAACACAAACAAATAATTTTAAATGATTAAATTGCATTTGAGTTATGACAGAAAACATTTTTTGTTTACTATCGTCATCAACAATTGGATTAAACCAACATTGAATTAATTTCATTTTTCTTAATTGAGTGAAATTGGATAAAAGATGCCAAGCATCAGAAGTATCAAATGCAATACTATCAAAAATTAAATGTTGAATTGACGATGAATATTTTGGTGATAAAAGCGGTAATATGTACTTCGTTTCACCAGAAACGAGTTTCAATTTACGTAAATGGGATGTGGATTGTAAAATTCGTGATAGATTTGAATAATGATTATCTAATGGATATTCCACCTTTATCGAAAGAGAGGTTAAGTTCGACTATTAAGAAGGAGATAGAGGGGAAAAGAAAAGAAAAAGATTAATAAAATACGTTAATAACTCAAATTTTGTTACAACTCATCATCGCTAAGAAAAGAGAAAGAGAGAGAGAAAATCCCTTCTTTTGATTACTTACAAAATCTTTCCAAATGTTTAACATATCAGGATACTCCGGAATTCTCATTTCAAGTATATCCAATTTTTGAATTTGTTTAAAACAATTAATGAATTGACCTTTGAAAAAACATCTATTAAAATCATTCTCAACGTAAACATTTTTGAAACCAACGTTTCTGGCGACAAACATTTGTAATAAACATTCAATAATTTGCTCCACAAATGTTCTTCTTTCAGATTTACTCCATGCATCAGAATTGGAAGTATCATTATTAATACTTAATGAACTGTTTGATCTATCCTTCAACGATATACTATTAAGCGTTCCGGACGAGCTAGAAGTTGTGATGCTCGAAGAATTAAGTTCACTAGTATTTGAACTACTGATTTCTTCACCGTTTTGATAAGTAATTTTGAACCAATTCCATGCAGAATTAATCAACCCCTTTGTATGTAAATGTTTAATATAATTAGGATAATTAAAAAAAGGACGTCTTCTAAATAATGGAGGAAGGCTTATAAATCTAGGTCCAATATATCCCTTCATTGTTAAATAAAACTGTTGACATTCTTCTTTTGTTAAACAACATAATAATGTAGTAACCAATTCTCCCGCCTTATCATTTGAAGGAGAGTCATCACTAATAAATTGAAAAGGATCCCTCCAAAGAAGTGGTAAAGCTGATTCACACCATTGTTTATTTACCAACGTACAAGCAAATAATGTGTCGGCTATCTTGATATCTTCTGTTCGTGAATAAATAAAAAATTGCTCGAATATCTTCGTTAAAATATCAAAGTTCAATGATGCATTATTCATTGAAAGAAAATTTTCTTTTTTTAATGATGGTGAAGACATGGTTACGAAGAGAGAAATTATTTTTTATTATTTTTTTTTTTTTTTNAAAAAAACCGAAAATAGAAATGAAAAATTTGGCGTTTATTTAAATAAAAAAAAAAAAAGATCCCGAGTACAAATTTTATTGATTTACACTAAACAGTAAAATTATAATAGCATGAACTATGGACAATCAATTCTTTTTCGATTTGTTTGTTGTACGGTTTTAAAATAAACAATTTCGACTTTTTTACAAAGAAATTGACTTTAAAGAGAATTAAAGTTTATTATTAATGACGTAACTAATATAACTATTAAGCTCTTAGAAAGTGCGTGGGTTGAAGCTGATGTTTATTTTTTCTCAGCCTAATTACTTAAATCAATGGAACAAAATTTTGGGGAAAAAGAAATTTCCATTTGCCGTTAAACTAAGTCAAAAAAGTATTAGAAAAATGTAGTATTGTAGATTCGTAGTGCAAGTACATCAAAATTAATAATTCTAAAGGAGGAAATTTTTTAAATTAATACTAATTTATAAATTTTTAAAAAAGGCTTTTTGATAGTTGTCATGTGTTATTGATCGCATGTTATAAATCTTGATTTTTTTTAATAAAATGTCAAAATCATTTAAAATCATTTAATATTACGCATATTAAATGCTTTTGGGCGTCATAGCCATTATTTACGCATGAAACACATGATTATAAAACCTGCATAAAATATTCTTGATTTGAATACAATTTACAACTAAAAAAGAAACTTGTTAGTAAACCAGTTAATCAAATCATATGATATATGGTATATAAATTTGGTTTTTCATTTGAATATTTCTCACATTTCATTTCTTTCTTTCTTTCTTGATTATATTTAATCAATTTTTTTTCTCAAATTATAATGGATTTAACGAAAGGATTATTAAGAGATATTTGTAAATTATATTATGAATCTGATGATTATAATGTTTGTATTACGGTCGGTGGAGAAGATGAAGGTATCGAAACAGAAACTTTCAAGGCACATTCAGTAATACTTCGTTCAAGATCCAAATATTTTCAAAACGTACTTTCTAATAAGAATGATGAAGTAAAAAAAGATGGTGAATTCTTTTTATTAAAAAAACCAAACATTTATCCAGATGTATTTCGATTAATACTCAAGTAAGTATCGTATGCATAGTAGTACAGTATACGCCTCATCTAAAGATTTGTATTAAATCATCTCTATCCAAAAAAAAAAAGATATATTTATACCGGGACTTGTAATTTAAAGGAACCAGATATGCAAGATATGTATGTACCATTGTTATTAGCGGCCGGCGAATTGTCTCTTTTAGATTTAGTGAAATATATTCAACTACACATCATAGCCAACGAACAATCATGGTTACACGAGAATATTATTCACGTATTTCACATTGTCACTCACTCCACAACATTTTCATTACTAGCCAATCATTGTAGTGAATTAATTTGCGAGATTCCTTCATTATTATTCAATACTCCATCTTTTACAAGATTGGAAAAACTTTCACTGTTAACGATAATTAAACGAGATAATTTATGTTTAGATGAAATTGATATATGGAATTATTTATTACATTGGGCGATTAATCAATACCCTTTACTTAATTCCTGTACTGATATTTCTGATGCTTCTTCATGGACGAAAAAAGATTTTATTGAACTGGAAAATATATTAAAAGATTTTCTTCCTTTTATCAGATTTTTTCAAATACCTGGCGATCAATTATATGAATTTGTATGGCCATTCAAGAAGATTTTACCCAAACAACTTAAATCTCAATTAATTAAATTTCACATGATACCAAATTCAGAATTACCATCATGTGATAGTAATTTTAATTTATCATTACGTGTTCCAAAATATAAGATTGATTCTTTATACATTTCAGCAAGGCATGCTGGTATATTGAGATCGTGGATGAATAAAGGTTCTAAGAGCGAGATAAAGAAGAAGGATGTAGTTGAGTTTAAATTATTATTGAGAGGGAGCAAAGATGGTATGGACGTAAAAACATTTCATAAGTTATGTGATAACAAGGGTCCTACTCTAGTATTGATTAAAATACTTGAAAATAATCATGATGATGGAGATGAATCAAATGATAATAGTAATCATATTATTAATAAAAGACATACTATTGGAGATGTTTCTGAAAATTTGAAAAATAATAAAAGTGATAACTTTAAGGTTAGGAGATTTAGTACTAGTAATATCATTAATAATACTACTATTACAAGTGGTGATACTTCTATTGTGATTGGAGGATACAATCCTTTAGATTGGAGTTCATCGGATACATATAAACAAACGAATGATTCATTTATATTCTCATTCACAAATCCACTTATATGTGACTCTAACGAATACATTCTAAGTAGAGTACAAAATTCTCAATACGCTATTCGTGATATGTCTTGCAAATATAATAATCTTGGTTTTGGTCATGATCTTTGGTGGTTTAGTGGTAGTTGTACTCAACAATATTACGGAAAACGAATCTTACCTATTACCTATGCTGGTACTTTTGTTATGGAAGACTATGAAGTATTTCAAGTAATTTATTCCAATGGGAAAAGTAAAGAAAATTTTGAAGAAGAAATTTTAGAAGAAAGTGAAAGTGTTAGTGGAGGCGAAGTGAAAGGTGAAATGAAAAGTGCTGCCAATGAATCGAATGTTTCTAATGAGAGAGATGGTAGTATATTAAATATAGGTAGTGATGATAAAAGCGATGATAGTTTTGGCGAGATCATTATATTATAGTAATATGCAGTAATATGCATGTATTTAACAATTTTAAATGTAATGAACTTTTTTAAATAAAATTATTATGATTTATGATTTAACACCTAATCATGAAATTAAAATATTTCAACATAAAACTGTTCCACCAAACCAATAATAAATGATATTCACGTTCAGTTGTTCAGCACACGTTATAAATATATAATCGTAAGTATCACTTAATTAGTTTCAATTCTTAAAATCTTTTTCCACTGTACAATACAAAAATATTTATCTTTAAATTTATATTTACTAGAATTTTTAGGTATTTGTTGTTTACTTAAATTCGTGAAAATACTTTAAAGTTTTGATGAGTCATTTTATAATTTTTATAATTTAGACTAATTTAATTAATTATTTTAATTATCATTTTGTACAAACTCAACTGATTATACTCATCAAATTATTTTTTATTATATGTTCACTTAGAATCTTGAATGAGCGAACTTTAATTGTGCTTTCATAAATAATTTAGAGAACTTTTTCACAGTAATATCTTCTTATAGCACCAATTCCAATCGGATTAATTTGATTGAATCTGGAATTTACTGCATATTTCGGGAATTCTACAGTATTTAGCGTTAAAATCTTCTTTAATTTTTATAGCATTACTATTAAAGAATTTGTTCATGAGGTGCGTTCGGTTAAAATAATTCTTTTTGTGATTTATTCAAGGTTAAGAATTTTGATCAAGGTGTAAATCATTAATAAAGATTCATTTTTCCTAAATTATTATAGCATTTTTAGAACGAAGGAATTTTCATAATGATTGGTAATTTCTTTATCCTTTATTTAATTATTGATTGTATTATTGTAAGGATTCGTTTATATTGAATAATGTGCTAAATGTTTTTATTGTTTAACAGCACTCTGGCACGTACAAATTTTGAATTATTGATGGGGACTAGTACAATATAAAAAAAAACGCTCATAGTCATCGATAAATAAAAGTTGTAAACACTTAGGTGAAATTCAAGCGAGATGAGAGATATTATAATATATCGATCATTGATTTTATTTAGATTTCTTAAGAAAGAATAATACAAGAGATATACAATACAAGAGATAGTAACAATATATAATGATTTCTACCCTAAGCCTTTGAGTATTTTTCAAGTGCATATTGCTCAAAGGATCTAATTTTTGGGTGTAATTTCTTAGCTATAGAAATATCTTTAACTTCATCATCTTTTCCAAATAGTCCGTATTCTAAAAACCATTTATGCTAATAAAAGAAAATGTTCTATTAATAAAAGAATGAGAAAGAAATTTTATTATACCATTTATTATTTTATTTACCATTTGTTTTAATTCATCATTGTCAATGCCTGGAAATTCTTTTACATCATCATCGGTCAAAGTTCTTAATTTATGAGTTTTTCCCGTAACTAAATTAAGAATAAAAATAATTGAGTTTGCCAATTTTCCTTTAAATAAATTTACAGTATTATATAATAATTTGTATTTACCTTTGGTTAATACATCAACCACATATTTTAAAGAAACATTATCGGCGGCAACAGGAACTTTTTTACCGTTCCATTTAGCTGGCCCTTCCTCAATAATTTTTGCAACAATCGGCTAGGAGAAAAAAAAAAAATATTTTTTTAACCCCAAAGAATCTTTTTTAAACAACTCATTCAACTCATTATAAATATTATAAATAAACACGTACACCTGTGTCACTATCGACATCGATCATAGGAATTGTATCATTCTCTGTTATATAAGGAAAAACAAGTACAGCTTCATTATCCTTCTCGATAATAGGTGAGAAAACTCCTATGTTTTGGTAGTAGTAACTGAGATAGACAAATGTTGTATTTGGAATTCCTAATGATCTGATGTATCGTTCCACTCGATTTTTACCATGAAAGTGAACAATATCGGGATATTTTCCGTCAGATTCAATGATAGTGTCAGGAAGAGAACTATGTATGTAATAATATTTATGTGTAAATTTCGATATTGAAATAAAAAGTGCATGTAGAATTTATACATTATATTTACCTGTAGATTAACCAGTTAAGTCCTACTTCTTTAGCGGCATCGGCAATCAATTTACCTTGTCTTTCTTCTTCATCAGGTTTTGCACCAACGATTGTCTAAATTTACGTAAAATTATTAAAATTAATTTTCTTATGATAATGACTAATAACAAATTAAATGACTTACTGGATCCCAGAAATTAGTAACAATCCAAGCAATATCAGCACCGCTTAAAGCGTTAATAATTTCCTCCTTGTTAGAAGAGAAATCACATTTAACTATTTCATCAACTCCTTTAGCTTTTAATGCTTTTGCTTTATCGGAATTTGGGTTACGAGTTAATGCTCGAATTTTGTAATGTCCTGTAGCAAGAAGTGAATTAACAACGGATCCACCCTGAGCACCTAATTTTTGGAAGGGTTAGCAAGTTAGCGATTGAAAACGTTAAACCATATGATTTATTTACGATTGACGATTTACCAGTAGCTCCGCTAACAACGACTAAAGGTTTTTGAGACATTGTTAAGAAATAGAATATTTTGTACTTTTATTTTTACTTTTAATTTATTTTGCACTTTTTAATCAATTTCTTCCGTCCTATATTTATAAGTAATTTTTCTTATATTATTAATCAATTTAATTCTTCTAAACATTATTAGACTGAACTTGTTATTATTATTATTAATCGAAAAATATTAGAAAAGGATTAACCAAATTAACCAAATATTTAAACTTTTTTAGTATTTATACTTACAAAATTAAATAACTTATTTTAGAATAATAAGAATAAATGTAGATCCTAAAATTATTAGTCATCATTATAAGCACGCAATTCTTTAAACTTGTCGTTATATTTTCGAGATAAATAAAAGATCTAGATATAATATATAGTAAAAAATTTTTCCATTGACAGTTAGCATGACAGCATAAAATGCACGAATTGTGCAAATTTGATGAATTATGGCAAAATTTGATGAATTATAACCAATTAAAAATGAACCCGATTGAATTGTCTATTGATCTTTTTTTTAAGGTTTATTTGCCGAAAAATCTTTTTTGGGCCGAAATAATAATTAGAGCACTTTATTATTTGTTTGTTAGCTATGCCATTATCATTTCAATAATTATCATTATCCATTTCAATAATTATCATTATTTTTTCAATAATATGATTGGTGTAACATATGACGCAATAGTATCTCAGATAAGAAATGCTTATTTTTTGTATAATAAACGCCAGACCTTTCATCATCATTACGTATAAAAAGAGTATTTGTAATGGATGATATTATTGATTATTAATTATAAAATTTTTTTCCAATTTTTTCTTAAGCATCATTATAACAAAAAAAAAAAGTCAGTTTATTCGTTGATTTGCAAAATAGCGCAGCAAATTTTACATTTAATCTGATTTTCCATAAGTTTCAAGTATATATTGCTCGAAGGTTTTAATGTTTGGATGTAGCTTCTTAGCAATAGTAATATCTTGAAGTTCATTATCTTTTCCTATAGCTCCAAATTCTTTTTCATATTTAAACTACAAAATCAAATATTTTATTATTAAAAAGAATGAGAAAGAATTCATTATATTTATTTGTTTATTTACCATTTGTTTGAGTGATTTGTTGTTTAAAGTTGGAAAATCTTTGGCGATATCTTCATCGTTAAGAGTTCTTACTTTATGAGTTTTTCCGGTAACTAGATTAAGAAAAATAATTATCATTATAAATTTTTAAAAATTTAAAATATTAATAAAAATATTTGTGTTTTACCTTTGGTCAATACATCAGTAATCTGTTTAATAGTAACATTCTCACTAGCAATAGGAACTTTTTTACCATTCCATTTAGTAGGCCCTTCTTCAATTATTTTTGCAATAATTGGCTAGAAAAAAAAATTTTTTAAGATTGATCCTTCTTTTTTAACAATAAATAAATAATATAAATAAATAAATAATAATACGCACACCAGTATCCCTGACATCGATCAAAAGAAGCTGATCATTTTCTTCGAAATAAGGAATAACAAGATCAATCTCACCATTTTCATTCGAAATAAGGGGTAAGAAAAAAGTTCCAATATTTTGGCTATAGAAACTGAGATACGCAAAAGTCACGTTTGGAATTCCTAATTTCCTGATGTATTGTTCTACATGATTTTTACCGGTAAAATGGGTGACATCGGGATATTTTCCACCAGATTCAGTAGTAGAATCAGGAAGAGAACTAGTAGAATTATTATATTTAGGATAATTTGACGAAGGTACGTGTAGTAATTATACAGTATATTTACCTGTATATTAACCAGTTGAGTCCTTTTTCTTTAGCGATATCTGCAATCATTTTACCTTGTCTTTCTTCTTCACCAGGATCTTTACCAATGATTGACTAAATTTTCATAACATTATTTTAATATTGCCAAATAATACTAAATGTATACGTACATATTATACTTACAGGATCCAAGAAATTAGTAACAATCCAAGCAATATCAGCACCGCTTAAGGCATTCTCAACTTCTTCCCTAACAGATAAATCGCATTTAAATACTTCAGCTCCTTTGGATTCCAACGCTTTTGCTTTGTCGGAATTTGGGTTACGAGTTAATGCTCGAATTTTGTAAAGTCCTGTAGCAAGAAGTGAATTAACAACGGATCCACCTTGAGCACCTGATTCGGAAGGGTTGAGGTTAAACACTAATTTTACGTAATATACAATCAACGTCGTGAACACTGACCAGTAGCTCCGCTTACAATAATTAAAGGTTTTTGGGACATTGTTTTTTTAGAATAAATTATTTTCGTTATATGTCGTATTTAAATTCTTTAATTAATAATATTAGTAATCATAAATGAATTAATTATGGTAAGATCTTACTTTAAGTAATGTCATTTTCGCAGATCATTTCTCAGGTTAGGAAGGTTGAATAGAATATATATGGCAAAAATTTCTGGTGGCCGGATTTCATTGTCCGGAAACATTACTAAAATGTCTGGTGGGCTTATCATCATCGGTTACGATCGATACATACGACAAAATATAAAAAAAAAATATCATAAAAAAGTATCATAACGAAATCTTAAAAATCATCTAGAAAATAATAATAATAATAATTTTTTTCAAAAAAATAACTGACGCGATAACATTTTTTTTACGACTTAAGTAAACTTATGCAACGTATATCCTAAAAATTTTAAATAAATGTAATTAATACTAAATTACCAAATAATATACATTTTTGGCTATAATTTAATTGTACATATATTTGAACAAATAAATTTATTCATTACATTTGTAATATATAATAAAAAAATATGGTCGTTATATATACAGTATATATAAAAGAACAGATTATATTACCAATAATAAATGAAAGAGTTGATTGAAATTTTCTAATTTAAATTTTAACCAGATTACAAGCTAACTTAAATCATTATTATGACTTATCATATACTGGTGGCCAAGAAAGCCATTGATCGGCCAAGGCCCAATAGCCGAAATTTGATAGCCAAATTTGATTGTCATTTTGACACGGCCAAGAACTGTTTTAGCCACCAAACTAGCCAACTCGCCAAGCATGTCATTGGTCATTTAGAATATAAATTTTCTTTCTTAAATAAAAAATACTTGCTTTATTTAGTAATAAAATGCCACGTAACTTTTGAGAAATTAAGTTATATATTAACAAGTGAATTATATATTTAGCCGGAAAATACATTAAAATTTGACTGTTTGATTGCCCCTATCTTTCGAATTGAGAAATTGTATGGACATGTCACATGTTGTGTTTACACTCGCAAATTTATTGGCCGACTTTGGAAAAATTTATTTAAATTTCAAATAATACAATAAACAATACAATAGATAATAAAAATGGCTAAATAACAAAATAATTGATAATACAATAGAATTGATAATATAATTGATGATACAACATTTGTTAATTTAAGCTTTACCAAAAGTTTCAACTGCATATTGCTCGAATGTTTTAATTTTTGGATGTAGTTTCTTAGCAACCGAGATATCTTTAAGTTCTTCGTCTGGTCCAAAGGAATAGTATTCTTTAAACCATTTGAACTATAAATTAAATATTTTATTAATAAAAGAATTAGAAAGAATTTAACGTATATTTATCTGTTTATTTACCATTTCTTTGAATGATGGGATGTCAAGGAATGGAAAATCTCTGGCGATATCTTCGTCGTTTATGGTTCTCAATTTATGAGTTTTTCCAGTAACTAGATTAATAATAAAGAGTTACTATTATTGTTTAAAATATATATATAAATATAATTATATTATTTACCTTTGGTCAATACATCAGTAATATGTTTAAAAGTAACATTTTCGGCGGCAACGGGAACTTTTCTACCGTTCCATTTAGCAGGTCCTTCCTCAATAACTTTCGCAACAATTGGCTAAAAGAAAAAAAACAATTATCTTTATAACATTGAACTGTCTTTTTAAAAATAATAATAATTAAGATTAATAAACACGTACACCAGCATCATTTACAACATCGACCAAAAGAATGCTATCATTTTCTTCCACATAAGGAATAACAATTTCAATTTCACCCTTATCATTCGGAATAAAAGGTACAATTTCAGTCGCAAAATTTTGGTTGTAGAAACAGACATAGATAAATGTCACGTTTGGAATCCCTAATTTCCTAATGTATTGTTCTACGCGATTTTTACCGTCAAATTCGATAATATTAGAGTATTTCCCACCAGATCCAGTAGTAGTATCAGGAAGGGAACTATATAATATATTTATTTAATATAAAATATTTCAAATTTCGATATATGCATAATATATTTACCTGTAGAATAACCAGTTAAGTCCTACTTCTTTAGCGACATCGGCGATCATTTTACCAATTCTTTCTTCTTCTTGAGGATTTTCACCGGAAATCGACTGAAGTTTACATAATTTATTAAATCTCTTATCATTATATATACATATATATATTTCTATATATTATATCACTTACTGGATCCAAGAAATTAGTAACAATCCAAGCAATATCAGCGCCGCTCAAGGCATTTTTAACATTTTCTTTAACAGATAAATCGCATTTGAATACTTCAGCTCCTTTGGATGCTAAAGCTTTCGCTTTATCCGAATCTGTTTTACGAGTTAATGCTCGAACTCTGTAAAGCCCTGTATCGAGAAGTGCATTGGCAACGGATCCGCCTTGAGAACCTGTAATGAGTTTAACGTGAGTATAAAAGTGAGTTCACGTAATACACATTTAGAGTATTTACCAGTAGCTCCGGCTACGACGATTAAAGGTTTTTGAGACATTATTAAAAAAAGTTGTTTTCAGTGGTTATGTTGTTGCCATTTTTCAAAAAATTTCGACCTATATATATAGGATACGTAAATTAAAATTTTACGCCATTTCTTGTATTATTAATTTTCCAAATCTTATTTTCTCAATGGTTTCTCCCGAAATATATCCATATTTGTTACAAAAATGCACAAAAACTTTTAAGTTTTCGTTCCCATGCTCAATTATTATTATTAATCAAAATAATTTTCACCTGATTTGATTTTATCAATCAATATTTTTTTGTCCTAATTCTATAATTTGTGTACAAAAATATGTACATATATATACGTTTCTTTCAAAAATTCCGTTTTTTATTTTTTATTTTTAATTATTAATCATTTTTCGCCCGGCATTTTGTATCTTTGTGTACAAAAATATGTACATATATGTGCGCGTTAATAAATTTTTTTCGTTCCCATAGTTCCCATATGACTATATTAAATTTTCAATTTTGTCGCTCAATTTCCCTAATTCCGTAATTTGTGTACAAAAAATTTTCCATATATATAAATTCTTATACGTGTTCATTTTTTTTCTACATTATTAATCAATTTTCTTGGCCTTATTTTCTCAATCATTTTTCCCTCAAGAATTTTCTATGCGTGTACAAAAAAATATATATACATATTGTAATCTTCACTTGTTCGATTATAATGTGATTGTTTATTTATTAGGTGGATAAATTAAGTAAAGATTAAGATCGTTATTTTTTTTTCAAAAAAAAAAATCTAGAACTTTTTTGATTACGCAAATTTCTTTCTTCCATCATTTTTTTTACTAATTGAATTGCAAACGTCAGCTTTCTTTGAAAGGTCGCTCGGTAAATTTTTACCGAGAGTTAAACAAACAAATGTGTGACATATTGTAAGAGATTCATTATATAAAAGCATACAGGTAACAGTATTATATATGGTTAACATGATTATATTGATCGAATTACGTATATTAACTTTATATTAACTTTATATTACAGTAAAGGAACGTAATCATGCAAACGTAATAACAAGGTACAATAAAATTTAAGTTCAATTATATTAACGCAATTATTTATTATAAAGAAAAGTAACATATGACACAAAAAATTGGATTCGTAAGCCTGTACGTGTAATTGAGAATTTAGAAAGAAGAAATTCCTGGAAGGAATAATCGAACATTTGCTCTAGAAATTTAGATCTTGAAAAACAATGAGAATCAATATTACGCAAGCTCCATCTATTGTCAATTGCTGCCTTAAATTGTCATCTTGTAGTAATAATTGATGCAGGGAAGTTCATTTTATTGATTGGAAAGGTAAGGGACTGATACACTAATTTAAATCGTACAACATGACATTCTGAAACTACAAAAAGTGCGATTCAATTCTAATTTTTTTAAAGATTAACAAATATAAAAAGTTCAAATATTAAAGTAATTCATTTATATCTAGTTCTCTTCAGTTAGCAATTGATGTACAAGAAAGAATACCTTTTACTTATTAGCATGTACTGTCCTATTCAATTACTCTTATAGGCGTATAAATAAATAATAATACAGTATAAATTATGTGAGCCTTTACATTACGTAATAGGAGTAATAATTATTCTAGCCGTCCGAATGTAATAATAATAATACTAAAAATAATTTTATAGATCTTTAAATATTATATTAATCAATCCCATTCTTTGGGGTGAAAATAAAAATAGTGAGCCATACTTATTATCTTCTCACTACCACGTTTAATAATAGAATTGTACCAAAAATAGCTTTAAATGATTTAAGTGATTGATTGATTGATTTTTATTTTGTAAAAATCATCTCATCTGCAGTATATTTTTATGGCATCTACAATATATTTTTATGTATTATTTTATATATTCATTATTCAGATCTTCCCGTTAATAAAAACATTTCACCGACATCATTTATCTTCCAAATTTCCTCACAAATTCTCTTTGACTGAATTTTACTTTTCATGAAAGTGTAGAGAGATAATCTATCTTTAATAAAACGCATACAGTATACACAAAAAAAATCTTTTTTTATATATTCATCTCTTATTTCGAAAAAGACTAGGGATATCAGTCATTTTAAACTCACAGGTTGAGAAGATTCGAAGGAATTGATATTCTGCTATCTAAAGACTTCTTCATGCATATTGTTCGCAAGTTTTTAACAATTGAAATATTTAAACTTTATTTATCCTTTCTCAAATGTTCAGATTCTTTAGCTTAATTAAAAAAAGAATGAATTTTTTATTAATAAAAGAACGAGAAGGTATTTATTACATTTACAGTATTTTTTTATTATTTGTTTGAATGATTCGCCGTTTTGAGATAGTAATTCCATAAGGTATACGTATACTAGTATTATTGTCAACATCAATCATAATAAGAATCTGATCATTTATGAATAATAGGTACTTGAGTTCAAAACTATGTTATTTTCTAATGTTATAAAGTAATTGTTCTATACAATTTTCGCCAGATAATTCGATATCAAGTTATTCCATATGATTTAGTAGTAGAATCGGAGAGGGAGCTTCTGTGTAAGGTTTTATTTAGATGTAGGAATTTTCGAATTCATCATCAGATCTGCAGATCAGCTCGTAACGTGGAACTGAATGATTTAAATGTGGTTTATCTGTCAAGGAAAATATTATGAATCTTTAAGCGGTGATGATATTGCCTTGACTGCATTATTTCTAAGTAAAAATTTATATTTTAACTTCAATATATAATTTATGCAAATTTATTTGGTTATTATTGATAAAGAACCCAATGAAGAAAGAAGGTTAAGTAAAATAACTGCTGATGTCGTTAATAAGGGAGCATTAACTCGTTAACTGATTGATTAATGACTGTAACGTCCAGTTGGTAACGGATCCTAATTCGGGCTAACGTTATCGTTCGAAACGTATCTCATATACTGTAGCTCCGCTTGATCTTAAAATTTTCTTATCGGATCTGCATTTGTTTAATTATGATGCATGTTTGAAGTGTCACGAAAAGTGTATCTAGAAACTTTCCATAGAGGTGATTTGATTGACGCATTAATTTAAACCTTAAATCACATGATTTTATTTACCGATCGGAATAAACGAATAATAGCTTTATTCTATGATAGAAAATAAGAAATTTGATGGACGCGTGTCGTTTCTCTAAAATCATTAAGGAAGAAGAATATGGTAAAGTCTTCGAAACGGTCATCGAAAAATGATAGCAAAGAAGGTTCTGCTAAGAGAGAATCCACCTCAGAATCCTAAGAACTAGACGATCGTAAAGGTAGTTTCGGTGACAAGAATAAAATTCTGACGAAAGTTTTAAAATTTGACAATGAAATAGTTGTTATAAGAAGCTAAGAGCCATACGAAGGATCCAACTCAGAATCCTAAGAAACTAGGCGATCATAAAGGTAAAAATGGTTTCGGTGGCAAGAATAAAATTCTGACGAAAGTTTTAAAATTTGACAATGAAATAGTTATAAGAAGCTAAGAGCAATACGAAGAATCCACCTCAGAATCCTAAGAAACTAGGCGATCATAAAGGTAAAGATGATTTCAATAACAAGAATAAATTTTCTGACGAAAGTTTTAAAATTTGACAATGAAATAGTTGTTATAAGTAGTAGTATTTCTGAAAGATTTTTATAGGTTAAGGTTAATAAAATTTGTCAGTAAGTTAGCATATTGAAGAAAAGTATAATAAAAAGCTCTTTTTTAATGTTATTTAAAAAAAAAAAAGTAAATACAAAGAAGTTAATATCACTTTGACTAGTATCAGATAATTTTTTTTCTTTCTGATATTTACTTTTTCTTGAAGAATTTTTTTAGGTATATTTCCCTTCCTTCGTTGTTGTTTTTCCTTATGCTAGTAATTGCTATTGTTGGACCTTTGGGTCGGTGTCAAGTTCTTTAGTTAGGTATTTATTATTTAGTTTACTTGGCTCCTAGAGTGTGACGGACTATCATCATCGAATATTTTACTTTATCGTATAGATTATTGCACTATTCCTAGATTTATCTTTGAATCTTCCTTTGAATTTTAATTTGAATTATTTATCTTTATTTTTATCATATTTATTTTATTTTATTTATTTTTATTGACTAAACGAAATAGTACAGTGTCAGAAGGTACAACACATTCAATTCCATCCACGACTTAACTGCCTACTGCTTACAACAAAAACTACAGAAGTTTAAAAATAAAAATATAATATTTCATGGACCAAGTCACATCGATAGACAGTTCATACCTATTCACTTGGAACGATGTTAAATCAACACTATCTCAAGGATCGCCGCCATTTTCCTACCCGCAGTTTCAAACCAGTCAATCAATTGACGTTCGGGTTACAAATTCAATTACAACATTAAAACGATAACAACACCTCACTCCACTCAAACGAACGCATACTATTATCCCTTGTCCAGTACGCAACCTACTGTACGACATCATATTACAACATAGACCTTCAGTTAGATTTAATCATAGGTTACTCCTTCTTAATTACAAATTTACGATTGATATTGGAAACGATAAGTTTATTAAATTTGACTTTTTAGTCCGAGCCTTGGAAACAGTATGTACTACATAAATATGATCACCCCGTATCTGGTAACGTAAATTTATCTTGTAATTATTTCGCTCCTCCGGCCTTTTTAAATGAAGAAACAAGAATTGGAAATAGCCTGTAGAATTCACTGATTACGGCAGTAAATAATTCTGTATCCGTGAGTAAAGATGTAAAGATATATGCTGGAATTTTTTTTTTAAAAAAAAAGGGTAAGTATTTAATACCGGTTTATTACACACAAAATTTTTCTTTTTTAGAAGTAGTTCTTGCGGGAGGGGCTTTTTCTTGAAAGTAACCGTTAAGAAACGATATTAACTTCATTTTTTTATCTTTTAGATATTTGGCTGTAAAATTACGGCCTTACGGCGTTTACGATTTTGGCATTTATTACGGCCGGCACGTGCCGTAACGGTAAAAATAATTCCGACGATATCATTACAAACAAAAGAAACCTTATCACGCAGAAAAATTCAAAGTTAATAAACACAATAATAATTCTTCTCAGAAACCGATCAAAACAGTTTTCTTGCGAAATCACTAAGTCTTTCGGACAATCCTTTGACTCGATTAAATGGGCTTCATCAAACATCCTCCTGGAAATTCATACATTCAGTACAGATAGAATTTACGGTTTACTTAGTACATCTTATGTACTCTTCAAGTTTAAAAATAATAAAATTATTTAAAATTTAAGATATAATTTTTTACATTTTTAAAGTAATTTAAAAGCTGAAATTACTGTAAAATCTCAGCGATAATATTGTTCATAAACTATGTAATAATAAAGCTTTATTAAAATATTAAAATTTATTGAATATGAAAAGTTATTGTGACAATTTAAACAATTAACAATAAATGATATGTTTCTTTTCTCAAATATATAAAATTTTCAAATTATTGCACATTGACATGCAAAATGTCTCACTTTTTATTTTATGCTTTTCCGTAAGTTTCAAGTGCATATTGCTCGAAGGTTTTAATGTTTGGAAGTAGTTTCTTGGCAATAGAAATATCTTTAACTTCATTGTCCATTCCAAAAAGCCCAAACTCTTTTTCAAATTTGAACTACAAGACAAAAAAGAATGAATATTTTATTAATAAAGAACGAGGAAGAATTCACACCATTTTTTTTTTTTTTGTTTACCATTTGTTTTATTTGTTCATTGTTATTATTTGGGATTTTTTCGGCGACACCTTCGTCATCCAGAGTTTTTATCTTATATGTTTTTCCCGTAACTAGATTAGAAAATAATTTGAGCTTGCTAATTCTCTTTAAATAATATTTATAAATTATTTATATGATTTACCTTTGGTCAATACGTCGGCAATGTGTTTCATAGTAACATATTCGGCAGCAACAGGAACTTTTTTACCGTTCCATTTAGTTAGTCCTTCCTCAATAATTTTCGCAATGATAGGCTAGGAAAAAAAAAAAATTTTAAGATCGATTCTTTTTTAAAAAAAATTTAAGATCAATAAATAAATAAACACATACACCAGTATCGCTGTCGACATCGATCACGGGAAGCTGATCATTTTCTTCCAAATAAGGGAGAGCAATTTCAATTTCGCCATTCTCGTTCGGAATCAAAGGTATATGAGTTCCCAAGTTTTGATTATAGAAGCCAAGATAGACAAATGTTGAATTGATTCCTAATGTTCTAATGTATTGTTCAACGTGATTTTTACCAGCAAATTGGATAACGTCAGGATATTTTCCACCAGAATCAGCAGTACTATCGGGGAGAGAACTATCATAATACTTAAATATATTGCTTTTCGAATTTAATAAGAAATAAAAGATCATAAAGTATTATGTTTACCTGTAAATTAACCAGTTTACTCCTTCTTCTTTAGCGATATCAGCAAATAATTTACCTAGTCTTTCTTCTTCACCAAGACCCGTATCAAGTAATGACTAATTTTTAAATGTTCCATTATAAATTATTAACTTGATACGAAAATAATATAAACACATATTTATTAAACATATTCTTATTACTTTATCAAAGAAACTAGTAACCAACCAAGCGATATCAGCACCGCTTAAAGCACTCTTAATATCTTCTTTAACGGTTATATCAAATTTAACTACCTCGGCTCCTTTAGATGCCAATGCTTTCGCTTTATCTGAATTCGTGTTACGAGTTAATGCCCGAACTTTGTAACGTCCCGTATCGAGGAGTGAATTAGCAATAGATCCACCTTGAGCACCTAAATTTAAAGATTAACGTTAGTCGATCGAAACATTGAGCCCACATGATTTATTACTCATAAAGTCATCTACCAGTAGCTCCGCTAACGACGACTAAAGGTTTTTGAACCATTCTTGAAAAGGATTATTTTTTAAGTAGATGATATTTCGCCCCCTATTTATAATTTTTTGTTATTATTATTATTAATCAATTTATTGTATACAAATAGATTAGATTCTCTATGAAAATAAGCTACCTGTATTTGTCTAGTCATGTGGAAGATTTGATGATAAGTTTTACGCCTTTACCATATTGTTAATTTGTAATCAAATATACTGTATTATCCCCTGATCGACGCGATTATGCAAATAAAAGTTTATCCGTTCTATGGTAGATTTGCAGTAGAGTAGAAATTAATAATCATTTTTATTTACAGACTAGTAATTCTGAAGCTTTTTACACATTTTTTAAATAGAAAAACAAAAAAAACCAAGCGAAAGAAAAAATATAAATACAGATGCCGAAATTCTAGAGTCTCGAAATTTTTATGTGTAAATTATTATTTGTTCATTTAGACTTTATCCGAAACCATTGTCAAAATAAGCGATTAATTTTGTGGAACGTCTTAATAATTATGCGGATTTGCGTAATCCATCTGAATATATTAACTGTTAATGGAAACCCCAGTTCTCTAATAAATTGACTGTTCGGCTGACAAATCCTCCAATAGTAGTTAATATATGACTTAAAAGACCTGGCCAGCATTGAAAACTAGTTGATTAAATAATAGTTTCCAGACCGCTGACCCGCCTGACCGCATCAGCAACCAATTTATCTAAGGGTACAAATTTGTGATCAGTCAGAACGATCCCGTTTTTCACAAAAAAGGTACACGTACATTAAAATTCCCTTAGCGAATACACGCCTTTTCGTCGTCTTATTAAACGAACAATGGCTATTTATTATGACGGAATTGTCAATCGACATTTTTTTTTTCTGTAAAATATTTAACATTTATTGAAAGCACAATCAGTAATTTAAGAATAGAATTCTTTTTTCTCAAACACTTGAATTTATTTTATTAATCTTTATTTCGTAACCAATTATTAACTGGAAGAAAGTTACCAACTTTAATCTTTCTTGAAATTCTTTACCGTACATATATTTATTATACATATGATAATTATCTGTTTATAAATGCTTATTGGTGTAATCAGGTACTAATAATTTTATTTCCGGTAAAAGAATATAAACTAACAATAAAAGGAAGTTCTATTTATAATATATTTAACATTTTTATTTTGCTTTTCCGAAAGTTTCAAGTGCATATTGCTCAAAGGTTTTAATGTTTGGATGAAGTTTCTTGGTAATAGAAATATCTCGAAGTTCACCACTCTTTCCAAAAACTCCAAATTCTTTAATAAATTTAAACTATAAAACAAAAAAAAAATTAATATTTTATTTTTAAAAAAAAAGAAAACGAAAAAATTTTTCATTGTTTTTTTTACCATTTGCTTCATTTGTTCATTGTTTACATATGCATCTAATTTTGCGATATCATCATCGCCCATAGTTTTTAATTTATGTTTTTTTCCGGTAACTATATTAAAAAAACAAATAATTGAGCCTGTCTATTTTCTTTACAGTATTTATGTTTAGTTATTTACCTTTGGTCAATATATCAACGATTTGTTTCATGGTAAGGAACTCAGCAGCAACAGGAACTCTTTTACCGTTCCATTTATCTGGGCCTTCCTCAATAATTTTTGCAACAATAGGCTAGAAAAAAATATAATTTTAACTAAAGTTGAAGTATATTAAGTTCAATTAATAAACACGTACTCCAGTATCGCCATCGACATCGATCATGGGAAGCTGATCATTTTCTTCAAGATAAGAAATAGCAAGTTCAACTTCATCATTTTCATTCGGAATCAAAATCGTATTAGCTCCAATATTTTGGTTGTAAAAGCCAAGATAGGCAAATGTCATATTCGGAATTCCTGATGTTCTAATGTATTGTTCTACATGACTTTTACCAGTAAATTGGATAACATTCAACAGTAGAATCAACAATAGAACTGTGAAACATTTTTTGTTAAGATATAAAACTTTCAAATTTTTACACAGAAACAAAGAATTTAGAAAGTTATTTATTCACCTATAGATTAACCAATTAACACCTTCCTCCTTAGCGATATCGGAAATCATTTTACCTTGCCTTTCTTCTTCATTAACATCTTTACCATAAATTGACTAAATTAAACATAAGTATTATTAGAAAATTTATCATTATAATATATATCATATAATATTTTAATTATTATTTACTGGATCCCAGAAATTAGTAACAATCCAAGCAATATCAGCACCACTCAAAGCATTCTTAACATCCTCCCTGATAGATAAATTACATTTAAATACTTCAGCTCCCTTAGATGCCAATGCTTTCGCTTTATCTGAATCCGGGTTACGAGTTAATGCTCGAACTCTGTAATTTCCCGTAGCCAGAAGTGAGTTAGCAACGGATCCACCTTGAGCACCTTTAATTGTTAATTGATCGTAATGTTTAATTTACGTTCGATATAAATAAACATTCACCAGTTGCTCCGCTTACAACTATTAAAGGTTTTTGAGACATTATTCAAAAGTGTTCAAAAGATTCTCTTTGTTATCTTGATTTTAAAAAGGATGATTTTCGACTGTATTTATGTATTTTTCCTTATATATTTATATTAATCAAATTTGTTTTTTCTCGAACATTTTTTAGAACATATAGCAATTTATAAATATAGCAAAAATGATCGCTATAAAAGTAGGCTACTTCAGCCACATGAAAAATTAGTAATAAGTTTCCATATTGCAATGGAATAGCAAATTGACGACATTTTTATTAATCTTAAGAAAAGCTTAAACTTTAAACCTGACGTTAAACCTTAAATATTAGTGACGTCAACAGATTATTAATACATCATTGTGGTAATGAGTATATAGAGTCGATCAGTTCGAATCACGATCATCAAATTTTTTCTTTTTATAGTGAGCTAATGGGAAAATTTGTGTATGAAAATTTATATAATTTTGGAATTATAAATGGTTAACCACCAACGTGTCCAACTTCAAATAAAGAACCGTTAATAGCTCGCCACACCTAATTCCCAAAGTCATATAAGCCAATTTTGATTTGTAATCTTATTGATAATTCTAAATGTGAACTGCTATACAAGGATACTCTATAATTTAATAAACTTATAGAAATTCTTGCCAGTATAAACTCTTGACGCTACAATCCCTAATAATAATGCAAAATATTAAATACAAATTCTGAAATCTATGTTCTGCTACATGTTATATAGGAACGAGACATCTTCAACAGGGACTAACCTATTTGATAGACTTTGTCAATATTTTGCCTTATTCTTCAACAAATTAAGAGCGTACGATTTTTGATAAAAAGTATATTATGATACATTTGCCACCAAACGGTGGGATACGTTATTGACTTTAGATCGTAATATGTACAGTATCTCTGCTTCTAGATTTAACAAGGATGCGTTCCTATATTACTACTTTCAAACTGGACGTTTAACATATTTTTTTATAAGGCAATCCATCACAGCCCCGCAAGTAATTGAAATTCATAACAATTATTACCTTGAATCTTCTTTTTGATGCAATGATTAATGAATTTGGGTTCTTAATTTGGTACTAAAACGATATTACGCAAGATCTTGAATAATAAAGGAAAAATCTCATAGTAAAAATATGAAGTTTCCATATATTATAATCATTCGTTGTTCCAATTAATTATTTCTGTAATTTGAAGTTTTATTCAATGTGTTATAATATGATCCCATCTTTATGCATAACTTATCTTAATAAAAAATAGACAATGTATTTCATTATCAATAGATGTAAAATGACTAAAATCCGTAGCGTTAAAAAAAGTTTTAGTTTTTCACGAAAAGTTGTTATTTAGTAATTTACTGTCTTAAATGCCAGTATGTGATGAAAAAGAGAGTCCTCCCCACATTGTGGCAATACACTCATATGAGTTGATACATTTAAAGGTAAATCTTGTATTGCAGGTTCTCTGTTAATTATTGTAGTGATCCAAAGAACTAAAATACTATATAACGTGTTGCAGAATTTGGTTTCGATCATATAATTACCATCAGGGTTAACTGAAGTAATCTTTTTAGATTGTTATGGCCATATTTTTCTGAGATAATGAAAATCTTTTGCCACTTGTAAATTCTCCTAAAGGAGCGCATAAATACTTGTTTAAAGGAAGATTATGTGGGATGGTTTGTATATAAGGGGATTAAGTACTTGATATATCTCATGTGTATAATGTACTGTATCTTTGTACACATTTTCTTCCAGATATTTACATTATTAGTGCTTGAACTTTGAAGAAATGTAAGAATCATTAATATGATTAAAAGTAGCGTTAATGAATAATTAGTATAAATAAACTACGAAGATTTAATTTTATTCTGCAATATGTATTATATATTTTGATTTATGTCAAACTAATAAATATTCCTTTGAAATATTTTCTTGGCGGTAAAAGTGATTAGCCTTCGACATGGAAGAAACCGATATGTGAAGTCATCTTATTCTTTGGGTAATGCTCAACCGAAAATACTGGATCACTATTGAAGCAAATGATTTTATACCTAAGATTTTATGAAATTTCATACTGTGGATCTTCGTTATCGGCATATCCTTTCATTAGATCATAGATGACAATCATTTTTGCTCATATTCGAAATTTCGAATATCTGCGTGTGCCGAATACGATTAAATTTATCAACATACCAGGTAATTAGACACTCCGTTATTCGATATTGAACGATTGTTGATATGCACTGCGTGGTACAATAACAGCCAATAATTCAACATCCACCTCCATATGTACCATATACAAAATTTATTGCTGACGAATTAGCTTTGTATTATTTTTAACTATAATGATTGAATCATTGATTATCATTACTAAATTTATTTATAAACCTGAATAAAACAAGTTGAACGATATATAAAAACGAATTTTCCTGATAAAAACAAAAATAAAAACGGATTATCCTGCAAAAAAAAAATGGTTACGCAATTTTTACCTTACTTGTCACAAGATTTGACAGAACTTAATAAAAAGAACTATGATTTTATAATTAAAGTTGGTAATAACGATAACGGAAAAGAATTTTGCGCACATTCGATTATTCTTGAAACAAGATCAACTTACTTTGAAGATGCTCTTTCTAATGGAAAGGCAAGAAAAGTGAATAACAATTTTATTTTGGATATTCCTGATATTTCCGTTAACTTGTTCAATATTTTAATTAGGTAATAAAAATTTAAATATGATATTATTAACATAATTAAATATTGAACAAAATTTATTTATTTATAATTTAGTTACATTTATGGTGGTACCATTAATATTGATCATAAAGAGGCTGCAGATATTTTGAACCTTTTAATGGTTGTGAAAAGCTCAAGCTTAAAGAATTGTACGATTATATTCAAGATTACCTTATCGAACATCGTCAAACTTGGCTCTTTCAAAATTTATTTTTAATTCAACAAGTCAGTTTTAAATACTCTGATTTCACCAAATTACAAAATTATTGGACAACAACTATTTGCGAGCAATCTGAAATTCTATTCAATGCTACCAATTTTACATCTGTAGGTAAAGAAGGATTATTGTCGATTTGTAAAAATAAAAATGGTGTATGGAAGAAAATGAATTGTGGGATCATATCATTCATTGGGGCAAAGCTCAAAAGACTGAATTACTAAAGAAATTAATAACTGGACAACAAATGATTTTAATATTCTAGAGAAAACTATAGATGATTTTATACCTAATGTTAGATTTTATGATATCTCATCCGATAATTTTTATCATAAAATCATGCCTTATAGTGTAATTCTTCCAAAAGATTTATATCAAGATCTTTCAATATACCATTTATTATCAAATTGGCAACCAAAATTTAATAATCTTAGACCAAGAGAAAACAATATAACTATTGATTCTAAACTGATAAATGACGAACAAGCAGAATTGATTTCTTCTTGAATTCAAGGAAATAATGAAAACAAAGTTATAAATAGATTCAAAAAATTTTATTATGAATTTCAATCGCTCATCCGTGGTAGCCGGAATATGAAGTTTTTAGTGTAATCAAAAAAAGAATAGTTTTTTTTTCGTCCAATCTGTATTAGGGTTAAATAGATTTTTATTAAATCTTCATTTGAAAAATTTGTTCATGTCTAAAATTTTTTTAAATTTGGATCTGATTGAGGCGTCAATTATATTAAAATTTCCGTATTACTTTTTGAATATAAATAATATAAATGATAATGATTACAATTAACGTTAAGGAATTTTACATATATTCAATGATTCAATTATACTTATTCGCTTTTACTTACTGTATTATGAAAGAAATTGTCTTTGCAAGTCCTTAATTAATATTTGAGTGACTCTCTTTCAATAGGAAAATCGGATAAAAAGTCAAAAATCATCATCAATCTTATTAAACTATAAAAAAAATGATTTTAGTAAAATATGAATAAGAAATCCTCATTAATCCCTTCTGCAATATTGCAATCGTTAACCGGACATTTTAAAGATATTATTTAAGACAACCCACAGTGAAAAATCCTTGTTAGTTACTGAAATGAGATATAAAGGTCGTTTATTTAAACCAAATTTTTGCTTTTTTTTATAACAAATTTTTTTGCGTTAGCGGAACTAGTTACGTAGAAATTCATACTTCATCGTACATATGTATAAAAAAAAAATGACGTGCGAACATTCGCAGAGACGAGTAATTTGTGTTGATAAGTTCTGTACTGAGCACCTTATATATCTATTATCGAAAATCTATTAACCAATCCTATCATGTGATCAAAATCAAAATTGAGTACTTCTGATCGGCTTATTGAACGGTCACCCTATTTTTCGTACAATAAAATATTTTTCTTTTTTAAAAAGCAATACCATAAAGGTATATTAAACTTTTTGAGGGCGCGTATTAAAACTTCACTAATCACTAGACACCAGACACGTTAAAAAAAAGTGATCAAAATGATACCACAATTTTGTTGTTCGGAAAGTTCGGGTCATTTGATCAGGTCACACAATTTCATCAGCCAATAATTATCAATTCAAACCCGATCAAAATCGGCCTATTGATATATATAATGAACTATCGTATAAACATTAAATATTGGTTACACAAAATCTGTAATAACTTTGACGTGTCAGTTGTGTCACTCGTGTCAGTCTGTTTGCACAAAAGATCTTTTTCTTCTTTTTCCGTTAAAAAATTTTAAAACAATTTTATTTATTTATTTATTTTATAGATAGCAAGGAGAATTACAATGAAAGTCACAAAACTATTCTATCGAATTAAAAGGAAAAACATTATAAACTTCATCCAAACCCAAGGGAAGGACCTAAGACTCTCGGGGCGGATCCTCACTAGAGAAAAAAGAAACTGACTAGCGTTCCGACCAAACCTAATCAGGACAACAAATTAGAAAAAGCGAACAGGAGAAAAAAAAGGGAGTTTCAGCTTAATCATATGTCCGTTAAAACAATTTTATTATTTTTCCGTTAAAAAATTTTATTTTATTAAAATGTATGAAGGTACGCGTGCTAATGTGCTAAAAGGGAGATTTTTGATAATCCCTTCGTTGAAGATTTTTGATACTCCCTTTTTGGAGGTTTTGATACTCCCTTCGTTGGAGGTTTTTGATACTCCCTTTGTTGGAGATTTTTTGATACTCCCTTCGTTGGAGATTTTTGATACTCCCTTCGTGGAGATTTTCGATACTCCCTTCGTGGAGATTTTTTGATACTCCCTTTGTTGGAGATTTTTTGATACTCCCTTCGTTGGAGATTTTTGATACTCCCTTCGTGGAGATTTTCGATACTCCCTTCATGGAGATTTTTTGATACTCCCTTCGTGGAGATTTTTTGATACTCCCTTCGTGGAGATTTTTGATACTTCCGAGATTTTGATACTCCCTTCGTGGAGATTTTTTGATTCTCCCTTCGTTGGAGATTTTGATACTCCCTTCGTGGAGATTTTTTGATTCTCCCTTCGTTGGAGATTTTGATACTCCCTTCGTGGAGATTTTTTGATACTCCCTTCGTGGAGATTTTTTGATACTCCCTTCGTTGGAGATTTTTAATACTCCCTTCGTGGAGATTTTCGATACTCCCTTCGTGGAGATTTTTGATACTTCCGAGATTTTGATACTCCCTTCGTTGGAGATTTTTTGATACTCCCTTCGTTGGAGATTTTTTGATACTCCCTTCGTGGAGATTTTTGATACTCCCTTCATGGAGATTTTTTGATACTTCCGAGATTTTGATACTCCCTTCGTGGAGATTTTTTGATACTCCCTTCGTGGAGATTTTCGATACTCCCTTCGTGGAGATTTTTGATACTCCCTTTGTTGGAGATTTTGATACTC